ATTATCAAAAAACATTATTTTAAGGAAAAAATATCTCAATCGTATACCACTTTTAAAGTAAGGTAAAGCTTAATTCATATTTTGTAAGTATTGTATAGGTTTAAGACATAAGGTATGTCTTAAACCTATACAATACTTACAAAATATGAATTAAGCTTACGTAAAAAACATACATTTGGCGAGCGTTGATTAACATTTATTATTACACTCACAGTTTAAAAACAATACAAGAAATATATATTTTCTTTATTATTTGTTAGCATTATGATTTAAGTTAAATATAAAAGCATTACAAGACTTTGAATTCGCAAAATCATTTATTATATCGTCATACGAAATCTTGTTCATTAGCTCTGACTCTATGCACAAGAGAGCTAAAGCGTTTAGCTTTTCTTGACTTAAAGTCGATTGTAGGTAGTTCTTTACTCTCTTCAAGCAAGAGAAGCTTCTTTCGCCTGAACAATTTGCCGCTGGTGTACAAAGAGCCATACGAAGTGCTATATCCAAGTTTGGATAAATGTTTCCTAGATTCTGTTCTTGCAGGAATGAAGACAGACTTATTAACGATCCGTTGAATAAAAATTGCAGCTGAGTATTGTTTTATCTTATTATAATTAATTCATTCCGATTAGCATTTTCTGAAAAAGTTGGCTTTGCGAAAAAGTTATCAAATCTACTGATGTAAACATTTAATTTAAATAAGTCGTGTACGACATGAGCGCTTAAGGCCTGCTCATTTGGATTTTCCAAACTTTTTCGTACTGCAAATAAAATAATTAACTGATAAAATGTATCAATTTTCTAATGAGCAAATTGTCTCACTTCATATTTTGTGGAGGGATTTTTTTTATTGTCAAGTCCCAGTCGTTCAACTATCAGTTATTTGATTAATATGATCTCTATAAGATATTGAACTAGTTTTTTATTTAATAAAAATTAGTCAATTTTAGTCAGTATTTTTATTAGACCATCGATATTATATCGATTGAATTGGGTAAGCAGATCTCATAATTATTAGGTACACGGAGAAAAAATTATAGCAGTTATCAGTGAAGAATATATGTAAAAATTACTAATTTTCGATTATAATATCGAATCGCGATATTCTAAAAGTTCATAATCATTAATGTATAATTAGTAAAGCGTTTAGGAATTGTTCATGCAGAGATGTTGAAATATTTTTTAATTAGCACTGTATATGAGAATATTTCGATTTTTGTTAAATATTTTAATTTCTCTCCAATTTTCGAAATTCGTATTATGTGTGTGTTTTAAATAATTTTTTTTTTTTAAATTTGTAAACCGAAATAAAAAATTTATGAACTAAATTTGCCGCCCCTAAAAATTTGCCGTCCTAGGCTCCAGCCTACTCAGCCTGCTGGTAAATCCGCCACTGTATGTGACCATGTCATCTTTTATGTTTTAAATAGATACATTGTCTTGACTATCACATGGAATCACAATGTATCTCAAAAGTAATACAAGTTATGTTAAATTAGTCAATATATATGTCGCAGCCAACAACAACGGATCGATGACGTTTCATTACTTGCCTAGCCTGTTGACTGTTAATTTTTTCCTTAATTTATACACTAAATATATACTAATAATATTTTAAGTTTGAAGCGTCTATGCTAGAAATGCCTTTAGTCAGTCGGAGAGTGACAAAGTAATTTGACAAGTTATAATTCTAAACTTCTTGTTCAATTGAAATTTGAAATATACCTTGTTTATACAATACCTGCTTGGTAACTGTAAATTCAGGCTTCTAGTTTTGTCCACAAGGAAGTTATAGGGGGTCGAATATGGCCTGAACTGCTTTGAGAAAAGGACTTTTTTTGTGAGCGTCAGAATGGCTGGTCACTAGTCGTGTAGAAGGTTAAAATGTCGTTTAAAAATTACTTCCCAATTGCTTCTATTTAATTCCTACTACAAGACAATTGCTTCTTTATTATCTTGGGAGAACCACAACAATTTTAGTGACCGTCCATTCTGACGTCAGAATGGCTGGTCACCTATCCTATTGTACTCACTATAATGAATTATCGATTACTTCATAGTTCATGTTTTGCTTCCTATTTGCTTCTTCCTAGGTTTTCCATCCTCGATGCTGTACCTATCATGAAATTAAGATATCGAACAATGTTATTACAATTCCGCCCAGCGCCTGGTAAAAATATACAAGCAAAGAATATTTGGTTAAACTTTGAATAGTGGCTTCAGCGTGCGACTCTCATGACTCATCCCTGATGTCGTAGGTTCGATCCTCGGCTGTGCACCATAGCCTCCTACTCTTAACATTCGCTCGAAGGGTTAAGGAAAACATTGTCAGGCAATCGGCTTGCCTTAGACCCAAAAAGTCGACAGCGTGTATCAGGCATAGGAGGCAGAACATCTACTAACCTATTAGATTCACAAATTATCATGAAATAGTTACAGAAATCTGAGGCCCAGACCTAAAGGTTGTAGCACCACTGATTTTTTATACGGCCAATCAATAAGAAGTGGTCTGCGATAAAGACAAGAAGATTTTTTTACTTTTTTTAATTAAACAAATATAAAACCTACTTTTACCAAAATCATAGCTTGAATCCCTTGAGGTCAGGTCAGGTCAGGATTCAGAGATGGGCGTCGCACTATGTCAACACTCAACACACACAACACACAACAATCTTTAATTTAGATATAAATAAAAAAATATAGATTTTTATACATCAGTCACGTGACAGTTTTTGTCGAATAGATGACGTGCATGCTTGTAAATTATGTCTTCGATCCTCTAACTCTAACACTATCTTGGTGTTTAAATTTTGCTTGTAAATTATGTCTTCGATTCTCTAACTCTAACACTATCTTGGTGTTTAAATTTTGCTTGTAAATTATGTCTTCGATTCTCTAACTCTAACACTATCTTGGTGTTTAAATTTTGCTTGTAAATTATGTCTTCGATTCTCTAACTCTAACACTATCTTGGTGTTTAAATTTTGCTTGTAAATTATGTCTTCGATTCTCTAACTCTAACACTATCTTGGTATTTAAATTTTGCTTGTAAATTATGTCTTCGATTCTCTAACTCTAACACTATCTTGGTGTTTAAATTTTTCGGAGACTGTCTTTGATGGAAATGTATATATGTATATGTTGGTGTAATTTAAGAATGAGAGTTTACAGAGAGCCTAGAGAAGCGTGTTGGCGGATTCTTGATATAATTGTCAAGCCTTAACAGAATTAAAAATAACAAGTTGTGTAGTTTATATGGTCACTAATAATAATATGAAATGGTACTGAAAATCTTGTCAAACAGTCTATTGATACGATCTTAAAAAATCATAATCAATCAGCGGAGTATACCTACAAAGAGACAACTCAGACGCATCCACGATTATGCCGCGTTATTCGATTTTGATTTTGTAATACCAAAGACGATTATAGTTATAGACCACTGACCAGCAATATTCATTAATTGTCTTTGATAACACGGTCATATTACCTACATGATATTCTACTTTTATTTTGCAATTCCTTCACCTATTTGCATATTTGATAGAATAGTATTCATTTACATCATATTGAGTAAAAAATTATCAACGAATATACTACAAACAGAATATTGTAAATCGTGCAATACTTTTTTATATTTGACTTAATGTCATATAACCCCTAGATGGGGCAGAGGGCGTCCACAATGAGTCTCCATCGCGTTCAGTCTTGAGCCTCGTATTTCACCTCGCTCCAAGTGTTTCTGGCCCTCTTTGCCTCGTCTGTGTACAGCACCAGGTTTGCTTGGGACGGCCACGCTTCTGCTTTCCTTGCGGGTTCCAATCAAGCGAATGCTTGGGAATGTGATTGGGATCCCTTCGGAGTGTTTGACCTATCCAATTCCTCTTGCGTCGCTTGATCAGCTGGCTGATCGGGGTTTCTCGGCAGCGTTCCCAAAGTTGCTCGTTAGAGATCTTTTCAGGTCAGTCGATGCCCAGAATACGGCGAAGACAGCGGTTGATGAAGACTTGGAGTCGGCGCGAGATGTCTTTGGTGACCCTATACGTTTCACACCCATAGAGCAGCACAGATTTGACGTTGAAACCGAATATTCTTTTTTATAATTACCATGTTAAACAAGTAAATGAAATGGTAAAAAATACTCGTCATGATGAATTAATCTTTTGTAAGAAGAATCAAGATCCATCTACAATTAGATTAAAAAACTATGAAGGATAATACAACGGAGTATAACTTAGTCTTATAAAAGTTGTAATGTTTGAAACGAGAGGGCGCTTGTACAGTTATTAAACTATATCTGGCAATTTATGCTGATCAGTATGACAATTGACAACGTCAATGTCTGTCTTTTAGTCAACGTCAACTGTTATGGTCGACGAATGCTGCCACAAATAATTAGTAAAAATAACTAAACAGGCTAAATTTTTGTTACAATATTAATATACCAAACAATATAAAGAATATCCTTGGTATAAAAAATATTATGTTAGCCATGTTTTTACTTTGTATGCATATATATAATAAGGGCTTTATTTAACATATTACTTTTAAACAAAAATAGTTTTAAAATTATAAAATATATTCATTCATCTTCAACCGCATACTGTGAATGATTGACATATTTTAAATCTTGCTTTCAATTTGACATTATAAATATCATCTGTAAAAAAATTAGAGCGCGGGAAATTGCAAAATTGTGATTAATTTTTTCTTCGGTTTGGGTAAGTAATTTAATTTTATGAAACCAAAAATCTCGGAAAAATTAATAAATAAACTGAAGACTATAATGAAAGTCATTAAAATACTTGAATATATTTATTTTACTCTTGTCTCGACATTCGGTAGCTTACATGCTCCTTTACACGGTATACAGAAAGACAGCAACACCGATGGCAAGTTTATAGGCTATAGCGCGGTTTATACATTTATAGGTCAATGAAAAAATGGCTTAGTACTCGTAGCTCCTATGTATCGTGGCAAGAAATAATATTAAAATTTAAATGGCCTTCAGTGATTTGTGCCACATAAGTAACGCGTTTAAAAACGTTGAAAATGAAGCAGATCTGGTAAGTAAATGGTGTTTGTTGGGTAGTGGATTTCCCTTGGGTGTTGTAAATGTCCAATTGGAGCTGTCAATAGGACCCAAAATCCGGGAAAATTATTTTGATGTGATGTAAAACTGCGTATTATTATGATACAATAATATAATTGATATAAATTTATCTCATTCACACCTTCACATAACGGGGTCTCCATCAACCACGTATGATATGAACATCGAGGTGAATGATGACAGAATTGTGGCGACAATATTTTTAGAATTTTAGTTTGTGCGGTAGAGGACACAACAACAAGTGACTTTTCATCGGTATTTACGTAAATTTACACAATAGCATCAATTAATCGATAAACAAAAAGACAGCTTGAATCTAAATACGCAGTTATACGCCTATATTTCCTACTTTCTCTAAAAGTACTAAAACACTGTCCTTCACGCAATAAACAATTAAACTATTATTTGTGGCATTCATATATTGCTTTTAGATTATTGTTGAAGTATTGCTACTTATCAAAAGCCTAATTAAATATTAATAAATAAATAAATAGTTAAAAAGATAATGTGTGACAGTCTGTTCAATGTTTTTTTATGGATTGATTCTTGCATTTAATAGTGTTTGCCCACTAACAAAGACCATATAAAACTGTTAGTAATGCTCAAAAACAATGACCTTGTTTTACAACAAAAATTTTGCAGGCAGTAGTCCGCCCACTTATGAATTTTTTTATATAAGGAAACTTTTCATTACTAGGCCATCTGTTAATTGACCTGACATAAAACACCCTTAGTGGGACCTAAAGCTAGAAATTAACAAAAACTGCTCAGATTTTCTATATTGTGATATACCACGTAACATGATACTTTTCATGGCATTAAGTGATTGTATATGACAATCGGTATTTTATAAGGAAGCATATCCCTGTACTTTTATAATGTTTAAGTTTAATAACGAAAAATATTACTAAATATAAAAATAGACTTTGTAAAGCGCAGTTTTAATTTTTTCACTGTGGACACTTGGGCACGCCTGGTGATCCCAGCACTGATTTTTAGTGAGACCATTTTAGAACAAAGTTTCCTTTATTATTTTTAACCAATTAAAATAAAACAAAAGGAGGTGACTATCAATTTGAAATCCTTGTGATTGTGATTGATTGTAATTGTGGGTGATGTTCTGGTGATTTCAATAAGAAAATCTTTTTGTATTTTAATTTTTGCTTAAAAACTTGCCAACTTAAATATCTTGGTCAAGACTTTTATATTATACCTGTATGTAAATAAAATAAAATCTGTGAAAAATTAGAATAATATGTCCAATTGTACTTGTAAAAGGTATTGTAATGTACCTATTGTTGTACAACTGTTAGCTATACTTCATATTATGATAATTATTTGCTTCCTATTTTGCAATATAAGTAGCATCCTAATATAAAAATAATATTACATATAAGCAAATTCCTTGTAGAGTTGTGAATAATAGGTAACTTGTTCAATATATTAAATATTATGCAATAAAAAACAATTTTATTATATCTTTTAACTTGGTTTGAAAACAAAACAAGAACATTGCCAAACAATTTATGCTTACAATATGATTACACTGAAGACAATTTGAATCGTTAACAATGGCATAACATATACTAGTATATTTATTATTAACCAAAGCAATAATTTATGATTACCGATAACAAATAGATTTGAGATAATTTATTAAGGTTTTGGCCTAACTTTGACTTGAGTATTTTCTTTTGTAAAAGATAGCGTGGCCTAGTTGCAACCGTAAACCGTTGATGCCACATAAATTGTGTGCATACCTAAATTATTGCGAGAGTGTAGTATGAATAACTAAATTTTGCATGCCATTTGCTACTTCGACCATATTGGTCAGTGATTTGTTTGTGGTTATTTTTCAAAAATTAAAAAAAATATATACAACCGTGTTTAATATGTACTGATTTATAGAATTATTGTGTGAAATGTTATTCAGTTACAGTAGATCTTAAAAGTATATATAATATATATCACTTAGATGAAGTGAAGTCAGAAATTAACTCTTTATCAGTTTGTTAGATACAATTTGGTGGATTTTGAGAATGGTTTGAGAGATTGCTCTGCTTGATTCAGTTCTTAAAAATGACCAGTTGTTTTTTATATATTCTACTTTTTGTTTCCCAATATTTTTAGTAATCTATATATTTCTTAAACCATTGTTACAGTCGGACAGAATTATGGAAGAAAACTCGATGGTACGGGATCTCATCACTAAGATTCTGGATGAGCCAGGACCAACTGAAACAAGCTGGTAAGTTGATTAGTTCCAATTCTTGACTCAATCTTAATCTATGATGGTGATTACAAATTCTATAAGGCTACGTAAAAAGCTAAAAATCCAGACACTACCTTTTAGTTCCGAGCCTCGAGTATCTGTATGAAACTCTTTTGTATAGACAAGTAGATTCGATCTGTGCCTGTCACGCGCCGTCGATTTTAGTATCGAATGCCGCTCTCACGATGTTTTCCTTCGCGAGTGTTAAATGCGCACATAGTAAAATCGATTTCTGCCCAGCCGTGTTCGAACGTACGACCTCAGGGCTGAGAGGCGCGCTCAAGGCACTAGCCCAACGCTGCTCTCTAAAAGCCAATATAATATATTAGTTCTGTTTTATAAATACAGTGTAAACTCCTTATAACGTTTTAATTATATAACGATATACTCTAAAACGTAAAAATGAGTTAAATTTGTTTGGATTAACAAAAAACCCATACATTAATTCACTCTTTGTAACGCATCTTCCTTTCTCTATTACGATGTAATATTTTCATATTTATATATCAACAACATACTTAAGTGTAATTGTTTTTATAATCAGCTTACAAAACCAAATTGAGGTGCCGAAATTTATAAGAAAGACACCTGACGTCATAAACAGCCCTCTCGCCTTTGTTAGTGTTAATTGCATTAAAACATGTGCCATTATTTTTAGATTACATTGCCTGTACGTTTTTTTCTCTTCTATCCCTAGGGACCGTTCAAGTATTACGTCACGCAATTTTTGGAGATTATTGACACCCCCCCTCGTGTAACGCGCCGTAACGTTTTTCTGTACCCAAGTATAGTAAATCGTTTCGTGACCACCTAGTGACTCTTTATACTAAAAAGTTACCGTTATGTGGTTTAAAGTACTGGAAAGTCGAAAATAATATTAACCATAACGCATAATTCAATCCCCGCCCTGCATCGTAACGTTTTACAAAAGGAACCCCATCCAAAATTCGTTACGTGATTCTTGAACGCTCCCCTATAATAAAAACTCGCTATAACGAAAAAAAAAGCTCAATCCCTTGAAATTCGTTATAAAGAATTTACACTGTATAGGAATTTTAAAAAAACAATGCCATAGAACTGGTAACGAATATATAATGAAATTAAGTCTAAATATATTATTTCCAGCTCTACACAAACACCGGATAAGACACTAAGCGGTTTACATCCCAGCCTAAACCAATACGCCAAAAACGATGCGAATTATCTATCACCATCGTATTCTCAGTCGTTTCAAAACAGCCCATACTTTAACCAGAATGATAACGGCCTTTATATGCAAAATGGTTTTAACAGCTTCAATAATTTCCCAGAAAATGATATTAATTTTCTTAACATCGAACCAGTCGCCGATGACACAGTTTCACCAGAACAACTGAATTTACTCCGATTGGCAGCTCAAGAAATCGGCGGTGCACAGTTCACGAATCAAACGAAATATGACGATAAATTCTATAATTTCTTCGAACCGAACCAAAGAAACTCCCTTCCCGAGACAAATATGTTCAACTTCCCTCAGAGACCGAGCAGCCTGAATCTCGATATGAATTATTCAAACTTTGACTATCCCCAAAGATTCCCAAATAAGGTTGATACCTTTGTGAAGGATAACCAGGAGACCACGGATCTTCTGTCATACTTGCACCAGTTGAATATATCCCTTGATCGGAACAGAGAGGAAAATCCCATGAACTATAAAATGCCGGATTCATCAATCAACGGACACTACGAAGACTTCAAATTGGATGAGAGGAAGCAGCCGTTCTTCAACAGAAATTTTCCATCGAAGTTCAACGGCGAATATTATAACGACATGACCAATCAAGTGCCAGAGAGAGTTCAGAACTTTGATTTCAACCAACCCCCACCGAATTTTAAGCCGAATGGCTTCCAGAATGATTTTATGCGACGGGAAATGAACCAGGGACCCAGGGAAGGGTTTAATATGGAGCAGAGGCCGAACTTTGAGAATGGGGCTAATAGGGACCAAATGCGTCAGCAGGAAATCGCGAGGCAGATGAATATGCTGATGAGGAGTCGACCACCGCCTAATCCACTGAATGTGGACGTGTCGTTTTTGCATGAGAACACACCGTTTAATCTTGGTGAGTGGCTTTCCTTTTTAGGTGTGCGCCTCAGATGTCTATATATGTTTCATGAATGTTTCTTATCACTAAATAAATTCAAAGCCCTTGTTAAACGAAAATTAATCAACAAAGCCTTTTATAAATTTGAGGACTACTTAAATGATCCTAATCCTTGGGATTGAATTGCTCCAGTTCAAACAATTTGTATGACAATACTTGGCGATTAAAAAGAGTGGCGGAAAGTTTCTTGCCAGTTCTTCTTACCCGCTCTACGCCCTTGACTTGCGAACTGGTAGTAAATGTAAATTTATGATTAATTTAACTTGACGATTCAAAAGTGTACTTGGTTACCCACTTGAATAAAGATATTTTGAGTTTGAGTTTGATGATCATTTGTCTAAAGCCCTTCATGTATTACGTAAGCTAAGGGGAGGGGTCTTTGATTTTCTTAATTAATTGCAGTAAATTTGTTTACGCGATACTTGAACGGCCCCTAATAGGCAAGTAGCTGTGCCTGACATACGCCTTCGACTTAGCTAACTAATTTGCCAGAACCGGGATCGAACCTACGAACTCAGGTATCAGAGTTGCACGCTGAAGCCAACGTCAACGTGCTCTGATTGAAATATATCTACAAAATATGTTTAAATTTTACAGTTTCGTACAAATAGCAATTTGTTATTATTGCATTTTTGCGCAATAACGTTATTAATAAGCGTAATTGGACACGGGACAAACGTTTATTTCATTAAATAATCTACTTTTTGGGAACGCCAAAGTGATCTATTTAGGAATAGAACCTTGGGCTTTTAGGCATAATATATATATCTTTAATTTGGTTTTGGACTAAAAATATTTCGCTTTTAATAAGAGTTAAGGGTTTAATCATATATGTGAAAAGTTAATAATAAGGGATATGATTTTGATTACATTAAATCTACTCAAGTAATCCCCCCTATAACCCGGACCGCGTTATAGGAAATCGTGTTTTATGAGTATTCTCGTAAAACTAGGAACACGAATTTAATAAAGTTATTTAGTTTAATTTTATAACAACACAATTGAAACTGATGCAAAGGTATGCAAAACTAATTATGGAATTGACAAATCATTATAAATTTCACAAAATATAACTTGAGAAATCTCCGCGTTATAGTGGGGACGGAAATCGCGTTATAGGGGGATTACTAAAATAAGAGTTAATAATAACATATTTGATAATGGGCTATCATTAACTCTACTCAAGTAGTTTGTAGTATTAGTCAGCGAACCACCATTTCGCTATTTTTTTTGGAGTACTCACTAAACCAAAGACAATATATTATATGAACATCATGTGATATATATATTATTCTTTATATTAAGAGTGTTATAGAAAACACACTTTCAGGTATAGGTGCCCTTCTAGGACCCAGTCCGCCTGTCCCTCCACCCGTGATGCCATCACCTATGATGGACTTGCCCCTCCTAGCGCCCTTCTACGCTATGAGGAATATGAGGTAAGGATTATATTATTATACTAGCTGACCCGGCAAACGTTGTTTTGCCATGTATATATAGATACATAGGAAACATTTTTTAGTCCAACAAAAATAACTATCTATGTACTATAATAAAAAATGTGTGCGTGTACTAGGTGTACACACGTAAGAAGTGAAACTTCTTTATGAGCTTATTAGAAACTATTTCTTTAAACACAGTAAATTTTTATACACTGCCTAGCATACAATTTACAAATGAATTGCTGCAAATTGCGATTAGCAAATTTCAAGTCGAAAATGTAATCCGTTGTCAAACTTCAAAGTCAAAAACATACTATATGTCATATTTTAACGCCGATAAAGAAGTTTGACTTCAAAAAGCAACATGGCGCGTAACGGAAAAATGTGACGCGTAACGCAAAAATGTTACACTAAATTTTTTTCCAACCCCGATAAAGAAGTTTCACTTCAAAAATTGGGATTGATCGTAGAGAGGTAAACATTTAGGGTTGTATGTATTTTTGTATGCTGTATCATACCAAAATAAAAACAAATAATTTTGTCTAAAAAATAAAAAATAAATGTTTCAGGGGTGTACACCCCTTATCACTTAGGGGTTTGAAATATTGAAAGTAGCTGATTCTCAGACTTACTGAATATGCATACAAAATTTCATAAGAATCGGTCGTGCCGTTTCGAATGTTCGTTCCCAACATTGTGATACGAGAATGTTATATATATAGCGATATTTAAAATTGCTGTATATATGTAAAGAAACTTATATGTTTCTTTATTATATACTAGATTGCGCTATAAGCCATCGCGGTTAAAAAAAGCAGTTAGTTTGAAGTTTGACAGAAGTAAAAGTCATCGGCATTGAATTCAATATTGTGTAATTGTGAGGTTATTGTAAAAAGTTAAAAAGGGATTGATAATTTTAATAATAGACTTTTGATGTCGTTTTATAAGATTATATATCATATTTTATATGGAATTGATGAAATTAAAATAAACAATTGTGTTGCTCTGAAAAATAATAAAGATAAAATAACATTAAACTAAGTAATGCGCCTTTTTCTTTTTCATTTGTCCTTTTTGTTGTCCCTTTCACTGTTTACATATTATGTTTTAATTGCTTTGTTTTGTTCCATTAGTTGTGTCTAAGTCATTTTATGTCTTATGTAGTTTTGCACTTCTTGGGCTCATCTTAACTAATTTTCCTCACATTGGTTGCCCGGAAGAGATCGCTCGAAAACGATAGCCGCTAGTTGCTCTCCTTTTTATTTAATATTCTAATTGTATTGTATTTCTGTTACTGCAACAAAGTTTAAATTAAACAACTTTAGAGGTGTCAAGGGACACCCGGATGGAACGAAATTCCTTTCGATTAATTTATATGTTAATTGGTATCATAACAGTATAGATTTTCTCGACACCAATCTTACGACGAAAAAAAAAAGCTAACATCACGAGGTGTTCCCAGGCGGTCACCCATCCAAGTACTGACCTCGCCCGACGTTGCTTAACTTCGGTGATCGGACGAGAACGGGTGTATTACAATAGCAAATAGCAAAAAAGTGTCGTGACAACTTTTCGTAAGAATTTTTTCCGTCTAGCCCTCTTTCACAACGCGCGATAAGGAACTTCGTTCCAATAAATAATTTCATTTAAGGTAATTAGATATTATATCCTTTTAGTTTAAATATATAACTTCCGTTTTAGATAAATTTCGCGTTTCAAGGAAATGCGAAATAATAATTTTACTTAATATGTCGCTTGGTTTAAGTAATATATAAACGTTTTCACAAAAATTATTTCCTTTCGATATCTTCTATGTATAGGCGGTGGGGTTTGAACGCCCAACCCTATCTCTAGATCTATACTGTTTTTGAGTAATAGATACCGAAAGACAAGACGAAACATAATAATATTGCGACGTATTTACATCTTACTGTTATGTTTCTCTATTGCCTGAAAATAGTAAATCTGGGCGTGTCTAGACCAAATACGACATAATTAGTACGTACATAATTACCTGGATAATTGCATAATATATATTTATTGATTGCCTGGAAGACATCGCTCGAAAGCGATATGGCCGCCAGGTGCTGTGCTTTTTATTATATTAATTTTATAATTAATAATTTTAAATTTTATTACAATGAGATAAAATTATTAATATCTTTTGCAAATAAATTTATGCATATCATTAGCTAGCACGCAGAACGTGCGTCCATTTCGATATTTTAGGAAAGAATATAATATGACATGAAGGTTTTGTATTTTATTTATCGATATTTTTCAAAATCTATGGTTTTAATTGAAGATGAAATTCAAATTGATATATTTATTTACACCTGTTCGTTTATCACTAGCGCGCCTGAACGTATAATCTCAATCTGATCGCGCGGTATTTTTGAATGTATTAAAATTTATAATAAATTAAAAATTTGTATTATTACTATCACAGATGCAAACTATATATCATAAAATCTATTGTCTTTTGTACTTAACCGAAAAAGCATAAAATTAACTGAGAACAAAGGTTTTATTAGTAGGGTAGGGACGTATAGATCAATGCTTCCTAATATTCTTATGGCCCCCTACATAACATGTAAAATGTTTAATATTAAAAAAAAAACACTTAAGAAACTTAAATCATAGGGCTTTAAACACAGTAAGTGTGTAATGTTCAGAACATAAAATGAAAAACTGTAAATCAAATAGCCCCTCATAGTGTAGGCCCCACGTTAGGAAACACGAAATGCATGAACTATTGTGACATTTTATAATCAGTAAAAAAAACTATGATTTAAACATATTAGGTTGGGGAAAAAGTCTTTTCGCATTATACTATGTATGAACTTGTAATAAAATCTCTTTGGCTATACTATATGTATTTGCCTGTTTATGTTATCATTGAAAGTTGAGATTTTAAAGAAGATAATTCCAAATTCATGTTAGGATAATGTGTGATTTTTATTTATTTTTCGTACCGTCAAGATAAGTGAATCTAATGAAGAAATTCGATAAATTTTAAAATTTTACTACAAAAAAGGTACAAATGCAACGGAAGCCGCGAAAAAAAATTGCGATGTTTATGGACCTAGTGCAGTGTCTGTGAGAGTAGCACAATTTTGGTTTAAGCTTGTTGATTGTTGGTTGTTGATTTTTTTTGACTATCGACTCTGAACTCTACTGCGAAACACTGATGGGATTAAAGCAAGGAGTTGAGAGAAAGCGGCCGGAATTAATCAACAGAAAGGGTGTGGTTTTTCATAAAGATACCGCTAGACCTCACACATCTTTAGCCACTCAGCAAAAATTAAGAGAGCTTGGCTGGGAGGTGTTAATGCATCCGAAGTATAGACCTGACCTTGCACCTTCAGATTTCCACCTGTTTCGGTCTTTTCAGAATTCTTTAGGCAGTGTCAGGTTAACATCACGAGAGGACTGCCAAAACCAATTGTCGCGGTATTTTGATCAGAAGCCCCAAAATTTCTATAGCAATGAGATCATATCCCTACCTACAAGATGGCAAAAAGTTATCGAACTAAATGGTACCTACATACTTTAGTTAAATGTAAATAAACTATATTAAAAAATGTTGTGAATTTTCTTGAAAAATGCGAAGAAACTTTTTTCCCAAATTATTATTATTCATAGTTGTTTTAACTCAAAGGCGATTCAATAGACTGCCAATTATTATCATTGATAGTTACAGATCTGGTCTAAAGTCGATCATTTTAATTCCAGAGGTGCAGTGTCGTCATCAAGTATCCTCCACGCGCGTTTAGACGCCTGCTATGAGCAATGGAAGCAGTTGGAAAGGGAGAGGAAGCGGACGGAGGCCAAATTGGCCCTGGCCTACCCGGGGAGGGCTGTTTCGTCGTCCAATTCGATTCCCGTGCCGAGACTACCGCCGTGTCCTTCGAGGGTGGACAGATTGACGGTCGATATGCTGAGGGAGCATACGAAGGTATTTTATTTAGTTTAGTAATATGAGAACAAAAAACTGAATATACAATAATACTAGCGGACCCGACAGACGTTCTTTCATGATATTTCAACCGATTTAAAGTCAAAATCATTTAATCATATAGATAACAAAATGTACACTTATGAACGTCAAAAAAAATATATAGGTATATGAAATGCTTCTAATATCACATTTAGTGCCAGTTCTCAAATCAAGGGCGTAGAACGTAAGAGAAGAACTGGCAATAAACTCTCCGCCACTCTTTTTAATCGCCATGTTTTTTTTTACACAACATTTTTTAGGCAACCATTACACCATGTTCCACATGACATCTTAAGTAATTAATAATAATAACAAGGATTTGTTCTCTATCAGCAGGAGGCATGGTGAAATAGGAGCACGCACTTACATTGAACAACACTTGAATTTAGGAAATATTAGTATTTTATATTTTATGCAAAATAATTTATTGAAATCTTGAATGACGAATTGGAAATTAAAATGCCACGTGTTTTTATTATCGAAGAAATAATTTGTATTTATTTTCGACACTTAATATTTTAATGACAATGAAATTCATGAAATTCCTAACATATCTTCCTTTTTCCCTCTCTCTAAGTCTCGGAAATCTAAAGTTTGAGATTTATATAAATATGAACAAGACTTAAAAATTAGTTTGCCAAAGAAGTTTCACTTCTGACATGTGTACTTTGTACGCACGCACTTTTTTTTGAAGTTATACTTCTTTAGGCGCGTTATGAAAAATTTATGAGAGTGAAATTTTACGATGCGCGCGCACCGTGACACAAAATTAACAGAATAAAGTTGCCCACGGAAGATGCTACGGCATTGGACATAATTTAAAAACAACATTCGAATAATAATAGAATTTATGTTGCACTTAATGTAAGAGAATAATAATAAATATTTTTTTATTTAATTTTTCAAATGTAAACTGAATTTTATTGACTCCTTTTCCAGTCTTTGATTATTTAATTGTAATTAATTATTTGCATGCAATCAAAAACTATTTTTAATAATGCCAAAGAAGTATAACTTCTTACGCGCGTACATAAGTACACGCACCCATTTTTTGACAATATGGGAGTCACAACCCTAAGGCCACATGAGGCAACAGTCCTTCAATTCTAAATTAACTTTCAGGTATTAACATTAATGGGAAAGATGGAGACGTTACGGGCGAGTGTGTGCGTGGCTTATAATAAAAAATCGAATAAACACGAAGATGGTAAAATTACGGTTTTAAAACGCGGCCAGGGGAATGTTGCTGATGATAAAGGGTTGGATCCGGCTACATACGATCCCAGCACTTGGAAGGAGGATGCTAAGAACTTGGCTGAAATGTAAGTTTAATTTTTGATTAGGCGCGTTATGAAAAATTGATAAGAGTGAAATTTTACGATGCGCGCGCATCAGCATTAACAGTATGAAGTTACCCACGGAAGATGCTACGGCATTGGACATAATTTAAAAACAACATTCAAATAATAATAGAATTTATGTTACACTTAATGTAAGAGAATAATAATAAATATTTATTTATTTAATTTTCCAAATGTAAACTGAACTTTATTGACTTTAATGACTCCTATTCCAGTCTTTGATTGTTTAATTGTAATTAATTATTTGAATGCAATCAAAAACTATTTTTAATAATGCCAAAGAAGTATAACTTCTTACGCACCCTTTTTTTCTATTTTTCACAGCGTATATAACATTTCGTAGTATTACAAACGGTTATTGTATTTAAATAAATAAATAAATCAATGGCGCTAAAACTTATTTAGCAGGCCTCAGATTTCTGTATCTGTTTTACGATCATCTGTCAATCTAATAGGCAAGTAGGTGATCAGCCTCCTGTGCCTGACAAACGCCGTCGACTTTTTTTCGACCGTTTTTTTTCACCGTTCGAACGAATGCTAAATGCACATAGTAAAAAAGTCCATTGGTGCACATCCGGGGATCGAACCTACGTCCTCAGGGATGAGAGTCACGCTGATGCCACTAGGCCAACACTGTTCTGTACTTAAAGCTCAACTAATAAAAAATAAAATCATTAATTCATATAGGTAACACAATGTACACATATGAACGTCAAAAAAGGAATATATATTAAATGCTTCTAATTTTACATTTACTGCCAGTTCTCAAGTCAAAAGCGTAGAACGGAAGAGAAGTACTGGCAGTAAACTCCCCGCCACTCTTTTTGCTGAATTGTTCTAAGTATAGGTCATAAGTTTTTTTCAACATCCAGTGAAGGAAAGTAGATTTTAGTTTTTTCCAACGCACCAATATAAACAAACTTAATAAGTGTGTTGCTTTTATTTTTTTTAATATGTCAGCGCCCCTCACACGGAGATAGAGAGCGCGATGCTAGCCTGGCGCAACGCAGTGGCCGGAGTTCAAGCCGCGAGGAGGAGGGAGTTAGCCCCGCACAGATATTTGGATGGACGTAAGTTATTGATTACGTAAAATGTATTATGAAACTTATAAGAACTGTACCTATAAAAAAATTGTGGTTAGGTTACTAGAATAGAACATACGCACAATGTTAATACTCGGAACAAACACAGGCTGCAATTTCCCCGTACTAGACTATCTAAAGTTAATTATTTTTTGGGAAAAGGGATACTCTTCTTTAATAAAATCCCGGAGGCTCTTTTATCTCTGCCGTTTAATTAATTTAAGAAATGTATTAAAGAAAAGCTGTGTTAAAAGTCTTACTATGAAGTTAACGATTATCTAGTTGATAAAAGGGCCTGGGACTAGTGCTAGACAGGCTACTTCTAATTAACTTGCGATATTTGTTTTAAAATAAGTGTTGTTTGATGATTTGCTATTTTAAAAGAGTACCGAGAGTTTTTTACGCCGGCTTTTTCTCTCGGCCTACACCCTCTGTCTCCTTTGCCGATGAGTAGGGATGCCTACAAATTCAAATTTAATGACGTGGAAAAAGTGATACCTGTATCTTATATTCCATAATAAACTTTATTTTTTTTTACAGAATTTTAGATATCAGAATTTATTAAAAATATATTTTACCCATATTTTTCTATAATATAGCGATTGTGGCGCTAGCGGAGGCAGTGAAGCAACTGTGCGTGTGCGCCCGTAGAGCAAGAGCGGCGATGTGGTGCGATCTCACTCTCACAGTTGCGCTTGCCCCGCATCCCAATCAACAGGTTTGTTTCTAATATATATTTTTATTTATGATAAAAATAGGCCAGCTATTAGTGAATTGTTTCCTAGACGCTAGACGAATTGCGGAGGTAACAGTTATGAAAAACGTCATGAGTTTTTTTTAAGAGGATGCTAGTGAACTTAGGAAAAGCAAAATCTATGGATTTGAAAGAGTCAATAGGGCAGCGTTCAAGTATTACGTAACAATTTCGGGTATATATTCGATATTTTGATAAATGGAGAAAAAGTGGAAACAGTGGATAAGTTCGTGTACTTAAGCTATATAGGCTCATTTTGCCTCGTTTAATCTTAGCAAATCTTATTGATTTTTCTGGTCCAAATAATGTTTACCAAGCCTTGGCTGTAATAGTATTTATTTCGCCAAAAAGCAAATCTTTATAAACACGAAATTCCTTTTTATATATTTAACAAATAAAAGTTCCTTCACTCAAAATACTAAACTAATACGACAGTGGTCATATTTATACACGTGTCTTTTGAAGGTTAGGGCCGATTTACATTATCTTAGTGTTTAGGAGAGTATTTTAGTACAACTTTAAAGGCAAGTTCTTTAGTGCTTCAGTGCGTTGCGAGTGAACGTTTACATTTCTTCCAGTAGAGTATCATTACAGCGCCACAATGAACGCGCAACGACGTCGGCAAATACTCTCTATTCTACGCAAAATACTAACTGTAGTTATGGAACAAATAGAAGACGAGATTTTATTCGAAATAAATTAACTAAATATAAATAATAAATAAAATAGCTTCTTTTAAGGCAGTGTATGCCTAAGCCTAGCCTGTTTGTTTTTGTATAAATTGTTTTTAACGTTCCACAAACATTCGTGAACAACATATTCAGACACAAATTTGATAGTTGTATCTTCCGATCATTTAGCCATCTTTAAAAATCAAAAAACACGCACGCGTTTCACGGCACTTGTGCACTCTCCTAAAGATTTTACTAAATCACGTGTTTACACACAACGAGGGAAGATCTCGGGGGTTGCGCGGGCGCGGGAGGGGTATCACTTGAAACAAAAATAAAAAGCGATTCTATTTTGATTCAACTTGAAAGTCAAGTAGAACCGTACAAAAGCAAGTAGAGTTTACATGTTTCAACTAAAGTACTATCCTAAATCACTCTGCTAAACACTAAGATAATGTATATCGGCCCTTAGGCCTAAATAAAAATTAAACTAATACTAGTAGCGCCATCTATGTAGCCTAGTTGTTAGTCAAAGTCAATGTCACTCTTCTGATTGACATTTGACAATTGGTACTGTCATAGTAGTGATAATGTTGTTTTTTAAAAATGGTTTTGACACAATGCAAATATTAGTTTGACAAACCACCGAGTTCAAACTTTTATATACATCATACAATTTCAGATGGAGCATTCTCCACAGTTTTTGAACCAACAGTCGCCCAAACGCATCCAGTCAGAGTCACCAACCAGTAACTCAAACAAGGCAACCTCTGATAATAAAGAGGTAATTATTAACATTAATTTTTATCCTTTTTAAGCAAAATATATTAAATGTTTTCCATTTGCCATTTGTGACTTAAAAAAGCATTAATTTGAGCTGATAATATTTAAGGTATATATTCTAAGTAACAAGCTCGCCTTGAGCGCTGTCAAATATGTCAAACTTCGTACAGACAACTTCGTATTGACAGCTCCTGAAACTAGATTTAAGTTTGATTGATGTGTAGGATGTGGGCGTTTAGTATCACGATATATTGATTAAAGCCGGCAACTTGAAAACCTTCTGAGTTTTTTTTAAGTTAAATAAAAGTATTTTAGTAAGTTTAGTTTTATTAAAATACTTTAAAAAATAATTTCAGGAAAAAGCATCCACCGAGACGCCGAAAGAGAGGGATACAGAAAAGCAGAAACAGAACGACAAAGAACGACGTCGCACACAAAACTACAGACACAAACTTAATCAGAGAAATGATTTTTACCAAAAGAATCAAAGGTACGATAATCGTTTTATGAGACCATATCACTACTTGGCCACGGGGCCGATTAATTAATTTAATTTCTGACAAATGTCAATTCACCATTTTGGCCGGTTCTTTAAGTATATTGGAGCTGTTCTGATCTCTAAAATTGTAATATGGAGGGTGCACGGTGTTTCTACAGGATATCCGTACCTGACAAATTTGTTTCCGACAGAAAACCGTATTGTATTGGGAATTTTAATATTTAGCTTTGGGAGAGTTCAAGTATTACGTCACGCAATTTTTGGAGAGTATTGACCCCCCCTCATGTAACGCGCCGTAACGTTACCATTATGTGGTGTAAAGTACTGGAAAGTCGAAAATAATATTAACAATAACGCGCAATTCAATCCCCGCCCCGCGTCGTAACGTTTTACAAAAGGGAACCCCCCCACAAAATTCGTTACGTAATACTTGAACGCTCCCTTTGATTCGGGGCAAAATTATACCAAATTTGATGAATGGGTATTATAATGAGTGCCAAATGTGAAACTTCGGTAAATATCAAAATTCCCCCCCTCCAGTGTGGACTGGTAACACTGATGAAACTGTGATCCCTTTTAACCCACTGCTATGCTATTTTATACCTTTTTACTGAATCGGTGTTGCCAGTTTTTATGTATTCGAAATTGTGACGGGAAATTTTTATTCGCGATTTAGTGTAAACTTGGATTCGCTTCCACTGCGCTGTGCGCATGCATTTTTTTTTTAATATTTAATGAGCTTAATGGTATTTTTTATAAAATTAAACCCAATTTCCCGACACAATATCAGTTATATCTCTAATATTCAGATTTATCATATCAATTTTGAAGTACACTCTGGTAGCCATATAGCTTAGGCTTGGCTAACTTTTAAATTGTGGTAACACCACAACCTTGCCAATTGCGTCGGTGTGAGTGCGTAAGGAATTGATAACCAACATTTTCTCACTTTTATAAAGTTTTATAAACAGACAACATTTTTTCTAGTCACTTTCCAATTTCTAATATTCCGTATTTACTCAAATTGTAAGTATTTAAATTCGACTCGCGTAAATACTCTGAAATGAATTTCTACATCAGTGTATACGTAAATAAATATATTTTTTAACTGGCAACACATTGACTTTTAAAGGTCTACAATGCCTATTTTGCAATAGTTTTAATGTCTCACACCGACAGGAAATACCTTTACATATGATGTTTCTATGTTGGTTGGATATGACGTTAATTAGTCTAAGCATTAAGTGGTTGTCTTGTCGCTGTTCTAAGGAGTTCTAAAGAACAAAATAAGTATACGTAAAAGTGGCTAATTTTATTTTTTCATATGGTAATACAGCGCTTATATTGTTCTTTAGTCTTGGGATTTTCGGTCTTCGTCAATTTTTAGTTTTAGTCGCATTGACATTTCACAGACTATATTTGTCTGTTACGTTTCTGACATCTGACATACGTCAGAGTATATTGTCTGTGACATTTTCGATTGCAGCTTATACGCTTTAATACTTGGGGAATGTCCCGTTTGATTAGTGCATAATGTGTTGCACAAATGTTTTCACTGCCTCAATGGGCCGTATTAACCAAAATAATTAGTTCAATTTAAGTTTTTAGTCATAAGTGAAAATGGTTTATCCTCGATGCTTTTAGAATCAATTTGACAAAGACTAAATGAATTTATGAATGGCTATAACTTATTTTTTTTTAACTTAGTGCCTTTAATCGAGCATTTTCCTATGTGTACAAAAATTTCAATAGGTTTTATTTTGTTTCAAATGAATGGCGGGGTTGGTAACGTGGCGTTGTCCAAATTAGGTAAACGTGTAGTTAATTTTAATCCTACCACAGGCCTAAAATGTTGACTTAGAGTCAAGTGGGTCGCTCAATTAGCTAAGGGCGATTTAATATACTTATGATAGAGGTTTATTTATAAAGAAATTAGTGAATTTAGCTTTCAAAGTACATTAATCCAAATAAGTATACGTATTTTCATGTGATTTTCGTTTACCGTGTAACCGATGTAATGCCCTTGAATCTTTGAAGTTTAACAAAGGTTGGTTTTAATGTGAAAGCAATAATTGCCATACTTCATGGGCGTTGATGTAGATTTTAGGGTGCGACATCGTTGGCTAAGGTAATAGTATTAAGAGGTTACCGCGAAAATACATACCAACCCCATTTTACTTCCAAAACGCTATTTAGTACAATGAATTTGCACTTAGTATATTTTAGGTTAGTCAAAGATTTATTCGACTTTAAGCACAATGAAGTTTAGTTTCTTAGCAAATTTTAGTAGTTAGATGTTTTATCCTTAAATCAAATTGGATCGCTGTTCCCGTTGTTGCCATATCTAAACTATTACCTCAAACTGCATCTGCTCTTGCGCAGTTTCGTTTTTATACGCTAGATGGCAGTTTTAGCAGCGATTTCGGGAGCCTATGTTGAAATTTACGATTTTCTAAAGATAATTGGCTCCTAATTAGTAGAATTTCGGATGTTATATTTATTTGATATATTTTATCTTCAGCCTAAAGTGCAATAGTGGCAGCCCTTAGTGCTAAGAACATGAAATGTTTATACCCTTGTTGTTGCTTTATCTCAGAATTTATTTACTTAGTTTTATTACGTTTGCTGGCTAATGCATGTCTAGTTTTATTTAGTTCCACAACTAGCTTCATTTAAAATTGCACTCTATTAGCGTCGTACCCGAATTTGTTTCGCTCAAAAGTTCCTTCCGTCCAGAGAAATTGGAATTTGCATAAGCTTCCATAATTAAACCATGAGTTTTGCGCAAATTTTTAAACCGAAATATCTGCGCAGGATTCGAAGTTTTGCTGTCGCTTTTCTATGTATTTTTAATCTTGATTTGAATCAGATGATCCGAACTTTCTACTTGACCAACGCTTAACAGCATATCTTTTAAGAATCGTGTGATATAGCCTAAATGAAATGTCCTCTAAGTCCTATTTTAAATACTAAACCAAATCTACTGTACTTAATTTAATGCTACGCTACGCGGTTAAATTGTTAGGGTTAACTTATAAAGGATAACTTGAAAAGTTAAGTGATTCGTCCTTTATCACAATTTGTCCATTTCCTGATCCATAGAAAAGTGGGAAATAGTTTATATAATTGACTTTTGCCAAAAGAGATAGTTGAAGTCAGTACCGTGTTTCGATTTGTGGAAAGCCTTCGACGACGTATCATATTCCAAGCGTAATCTAGGTGTATCCGTTCGTTATTGTCGGGAAACGCGGTTTCCCTCATATCTCTTATATTAATAGGTGTACTTAGCTAATTACAAATATAATCTTCAATGTTAGATTTTCATGGTACTGATTTGTGACTCGACAAATATTATAGTAAAACATTAGAGTTTCTATTCGATGCTAGATGTTAGTAGATAGTGAATTTCCTATATTGTTGTCTTTTCATTTGAGACTTGTTCAGAGCCCACCACAGGGACACGTATTGGGGCCCTAATTGTTCATAGTGTATGTTGTTGCTGTCTCACGTTGTTTGCTCCAAATCCTGAATGTACAAAATAAGTGACACCGCTAGTGAATTCTGCTAGGTTTTTGTTAGAAATCGCTTATGTACCCTTAGCGTCACTGGAATTGTTCTCTCATTTGAAAATATATCGTAAGCAGAGCACTTAATGTTGGTAATGTATAATTAATCTAAATGTTAATCGTGACGAAGGTATCCCTAATATTTAGTTTGATAAACCGTCGCTTCGATGTCAGATGACGCCTGAGAACTTATTTATGTGAATGTGGAACAATCTTAGAGCTTTATCGAATTTGATAATAATTTACGGAAAAATATTTATTATAAAAATAATAACAATAAAAAAAAATGTGGTAGAGTTTCACTGTTAGAATATTCCCGCAACTAATCGTAATTCTATTTTAAACGTCGCTAGTTGTGTAGTAAGCCTGCCGATTCTAGGTAGACTATCCGATGCTTATGACCGTACACGGTTCAAGAATCCTCTTATAGATGTATGACTATTTATAATTAAAGCATATTCGATGTGAATTTCGGTGTTATGGTGACGGTTAGGTGTTATTCGATGTCTTATGAGCTATTTAGTGGCCATGGGCGCCTTTTGCATCGTGCACAAATACTCTATTGATAAATGTTTAATCTCTGATACGGGCGGAGGGAGTTATTATAAGTTGCCGGTAGGAGTCGGGAGTAGTCGGACAATAAGTAGTCCTGAGCTATTGTGATAGGTTGCAGACGGTTGTACCGCCACGGTTACTTTAAGTTTGACGCTTCTACGCGGTTTTGCCGTAAAATAGGTTTTTCTAATGGGTATTTAGTGGATTTGATATTTTTTCAGCGGTTGTTTAGCGTGCATATAATAATATAGTCTAACTAATATTTTTGCTACTCGCCGATTTGCGTAAGTTCTGTCCAATTTTATAGGAATGGCATCATGAATTTTTGATACGTGAGGACCAAATTGGTTATTTTCTATTCGTGTTGTGTTTAACGGATGAAACAGGATTTATTTTGCCAGTTCCTCTTAATGTAAGTGAGAATTTCTAAGATATTTTTATAGTTGTAAGCGATGAATTAAGTTTTTTTACTATGTAGCTTCTGTAAGACGGTTGGCGGCCGTTCGGCGTTTCTGTTTGACGTCTTAACTAAATCTCGTAACGATAAACATATTTTTAAACTATCCGAAGTTGAATGCGAGTTTTGTTTTTGTTTGAACAGAGTCGTCGAACGGTCAAGAGTGCACAAGTATTATAACGCATGTGCTTTTAGTTTGTCTTCGCAAATGCCGATATCGAATATTTCATTGCGGTGCTATACATTTCTCGGTATATTTTTTAAGTTTAAGTGATAATTGTTTCCAATTATTTGGGTTATTTAAGATACAAACAAATGTTTTGCATTAAGATTGTTACTGTTTATGTTTATTGTGATGGAATACTCATTGAGGAGATTGAAATTTAACTATCAAATGACAATTCACTGTAGAAGCTTCATATAATTACGATAGTTTAAACAACTAGTCGATTCAGCGACATATCCGATTTTTCATATCGGTACAACTATCCGATTTTACAGTTAAATTTCAATTTCCTTGTGCACAGCACAAAGGTGTATGGAAACGTTCCTCAAATGTTTGTATTTCACTAATACGCTAAATTTACTAAATCGTTGGCTTTACATCTATTTTTTATCGTCCCTGCATTTTGTTAGCCGCCAATTCGTCATGTCAAAACGTTTGAGAACTGTCAAAAACGTCAAAAGTCGTAAATGTCATTTGACTTGGTTTTGACATTACGAATCTGCTGCGCGTCACACTGCCAATTTCCAAATGCCCATTATTGTATAATTTTATCTGTTTTTGTTTTTCGCTTCTTATGCTAACCGTACAGATACACGCTTTAGGTGGGATATTACGCCCAAGGTGGATTTGGAATAATCCATTTATTATCTATGTGCGGTGGGCCGTTAAGTTAGGTGTGAAGTTCGCTAGTCCTCAAAGTTTCGATCTGTCCGTATAGATGTTTTAGATAAATACAAATTACTGTCTGTGGTGAATATCGAATTTTATGAGCTTATTATCACTCGGGCCCGTATTTCAAAACGTAACTCAATCTGAGTCCCGTCAAAAATGAGGAAATTGTTTGCTCATACTCGATTCGGATCCACGTTTTGTAATACGAGCCCTATTCCCTCGGGATTGCGTAGTTGTAAAGTTGATTAATATTGCACGTTTCATATTATTATTCTACTGTTTTATTCTATAATAATTACTATTATTATATTATATTTAACAATATATATTCTTAATATATGAAAAAGAAACAATATTTGATTTATAAGAAATTTTTACCATCTACCTTTCCCTACCAATTGTAAGAAACTACCGTCATTTTTAGTTTAACAAGGTGAAACGTGTAATATCGATGAGTGCGAAAAATAAAGACGGCAAAATCGTATTACTGCACACTTAGAAATCTCAAAAACTAAGGCATAATTTTAAATACAGTGCGGTAATTAATTAAATTATTATTTCCAATGCGTCATTACGTTTATTCACAAAATTATATATTTTTAAAGGTGACTTTCGAACTATAATGACGTAACAATGTAGTCAAGAACAACTTTGATGCGTGGCAGTTTTAACATTCGCGAGCCCTCTGGCATTGAGACTGGCCTGCCCGATTGCCCTTGTTCAAAAAAAAAATTGCATACGGCCTCTAATCCCATGACGGTTCGATATACAGATAATATTCGTACGATTTTGCCGTAATGATAAATTTTTCAAAGGAAGAATATTTCATAAGATGCCAAGTAATCTGTCGCATGGACCAAGGTACAAGTGTTGCTCACTTCACTTGCTGGCAGTTAGCATTTTAAATGTTTAATATTTTTAACTCTACATGTTAGATCGGTGTATACAATATCTTTGTAATTTTAGACTTTCACATTGATTTTAATGTTGAATTCGCCAAATGCATTTCTTATACTCAAAGGAATAAAACGTTTTTAGAATTCAACATTGTGGGTATAATGAATTAGATGGCGTAGACGAGTGACAGACTGATTTAGGGCAGGTATTTAAAGGATTGTGTTCAGGACAAAAGGTAGACTCTGCTGGTTCGCAGTATTAATGAGGGTAGTTGTAATATTGTATGTCGAAACATAGCAATGGTATTGTGCAATATTGTTTAAATCAACTGATACCAACTGGTATTACGAAGTTCATTGTTATTTCTTGAAAATTTTATTTGTTGTTATTCTTGCATGACTCTGTTGAACTAAATAAAATTTAGCTGAATTTTATGTATTAAGCGATAGAAAATGTATTTAATTTGTTTCTGAAATAATATTAGTCTTTAAACCAGCGTTCAGTGTTCCAGAACCTTTTTTTGTGTCCACCTTAGCCATTTTAATTAATTATTTCACAATTTTAGTAATTTTTAGCGAAAAACTGAAATTTAAATTAAAAATAATTTTAATAAATTTTCAAATAGCTCCTCTTAACAATCATATTGCCCCCTGTGGGGCGTGGGTTCCACGTTGAGATGGTTTAAATTAGTATTGTTTCAGAAGCTCTAATGACAGCGGAAAATCTGTTTTTGTATCTTAATTAAATATGTACCTAGGTGTTATTTTAGATATTTAATTAAACCTTTATGACAATATTTGGATGACTTTTCCAAAAATTAGGGCATCGCCCAACATATAGAAAATATTTAGTTTTTATGTGACCAATTGTTGTTCTCAATTCAGATCTTTTATTTATAAAATGTGGTGTAAAGTAAATTGTCACCTAATCAATTTTATGTTTAAATATACAACTACCCTCATGTAGAACGTTTTAGTCGTATCGGTGTTATAGTTGACGATTTATTAGTGTTTACGCCAGTGTTAAAGGTGTTGTCCTCATAAGCAGTCATAGATATTGGTTATCTCTATTCAGTAGTTATGCTAGTTGCAGTCATGATTTTTTTTACTAATAATTTGTTACTGTTTTGGCACGATATTAATTACCTTCTGACAAAATATATAATGATATAAAATTTTGTGTTTTATTTTACCCTTTTCGTCATCTTTTTTATTGTCTATTTCAGTATTTCTCCTCTACTAAAAGAAAATTGTATTGACATCTTAAACGACCCGTGGGCGAATTGACATTGTCGTTCTCTTGAATCTATCTATGGTAAAGATAAAATAAAGCTTCTGATCTCAATGTGATGTCTATGTCAAATGATTTCAGTATGTGTGGGAGTATAGTATAACGATTAATAATATAAGTCGACGCTTAGTTCGACGGACTTTAATCAATTCGTGTCCCACGATCACATTGTATTTGGTATAAGTTTTAATATATGCCATCATACATGTTAAAATGAGGACACAAATGTGAAGTATGTAAGAAATAAGATATACACCTGTGAACATGATATAAGAGGTTACGAATCAGTTGCAAACGGGCATTAGGCTCACGTGATGTTAAGTGATGCCGCCGCCCATGGACACTCAATGCCAGAGGGCTCGCGAGTGCGTTTCCGGCCGGGATCGGTTCCACATAGTGGTGGTGTGTGGCAAAACTGCCTTAAAACGCTCAGTTTTGGAACGACGAACGTCGAGGTGGTACGGGTGGAATTTCGTAATATTCTTAACTTCAATTGTCCTAACCTTGAATGTCACGGAGGCAATTTCGGCAGTTTACAGTCAAGTTAGCGATATAAGATAGGTGCTCCATATTAATACTGAAAATAAGCAGCAAATACGTGGGTAACACTGAAAATGTTTACACCTGGCCAGTTAGAAACATTGCTAATGTAAACTTTTTAGAATATTAATTTTAGAACTCTTTTTTTGTTAATTGGCGGCAAATCTAAAACTCTTGCTCTTGTCACACGTGAAAATGAACCTAACGCGAGAAAATTTTCGGTCACTTATTTATTATGACTCGTGGGCTTATTCAACAACAAAGCTATGATAAAAATACGAGAGTGACCTATCAGCAGATACGGGCAAGCCTAGGCATTGGTATGAGTAAAGTTCAAAAAATATTACACGAACATTTAGGCGTCAGGAAGCTTTATACCAGATGGTTCCCCATAGTTTAACCGACGACCAGAAATACTTTCGCATGGACTGGTGTCGCCAAATGTTAGAATAGTCAACGGCAGTAACTCAAATTCTGTATTTGACATCGTCACAGGTAATGAAAGCTAAGAATCCGAAACCAAAAGACAATCAACTGAGTGGGTGTTTCCTTTCGAGGATCGGCCAACTAAGGTAAAGAAAGGAAGAAGTCAAGGAAAAAAGATGATTGCCTCATTCTTTGGTCGGAAAGGTCATTTCGCGACAGTTGTGCTAGAAGATGGAAGGACAGTTACTGCAGACTGGTATGTCAATAGCTGTTTGCCTGTTGTCTTGGAAAAATTTCGAGAGCAAGGCCCTCGCAGCAGGATCCTCCGTCACCACGACAATGCTTCAGCGCACTCCGCAAAACGGACTGTTGAATACTTTACTATGGCAGGTATCGATATGAGTCATCCAGTGTTACCTAGGTATCTGGGACACCTACTCTATTTGTGCCAACGACATATATATAAACCCTGAGGTCGTAGGTTCGATCTCCGGCTAGGCTGTGTGTGTCTTTCTGGCTATGTGCGCATTAGACACAACCCTCGTACGGTAAAGGTATACATAATGAGGAGAATAAAATCATACAAATCGACGTTGTGTGTCAGGCACAGAAGGCTATTTAGATAAAACAAATGATTACGTAATCGTTACCAAAATGGGTAGGCTAGACTAGTTTAGGCTAATCTAGAACCTAAAAGGTAGTAGCGCCTTTTTTTATATTTATCTAATATCGGTACATTTTATATTAATTTTTATCGATAGTAAAAAGACAAAAATATTTATAATAATTTATTAGATATCTACAAAATATTATTTACATCTAAAGTATTTTACATTACAAGCTCACTTAAGTTCACGCTCAATTCAAAGAGTTGCTTTGAACAGATAGTGCCTCCATGCTTCGCTTCAGAAGAGGCGTTTCAAACATATTCACTAGACACTATAGACACTTCACTTTTCTTCACTAAGCGCGAGTTGAACTTTGCCCAGCTTGCCACTTGGTACGTCAACGCTATTTAATGTCTGTGTAATAATCCCTGTGGCGACAGTCACATTGTTCTCTCTGACCGTGAATGGTTGCCCAGTAACCATGACCATGCCTTCTAGAAGGGTAAGATACACCTCTGCATGGTCACCAGGCATAAGCATTTGCATTGTTGGCTCTGAAAATAAAGTGCTATAATAATAAAAGTTAAGTCTAAGAATTATTTTAAATATTTAATAAAATGAGGATTTTGATGTTCTACAGCTATTGATAACTATATTTTTAAAACTACCAAACAAAAGACAACATTTATTTTTAAGAAAACATAAGATAAAGTCTTGGTTAATATTAAACTCAATAATAATAACGGACACACACACACAAATTACTGGTGTAATAAAAAAAAATGGTTTTACAACTTTAGACATAACATAAGTAGGTGACAAAATTTAAAAAAAAATCGGTTGTCTGTAAAGTCGGTTTACTGACGATAGTTGAACGTGACAACGTCATAAAAAAATATTGATGGGATGGTTGCATTTTTCAAAAAAAAAATTAAATTTTATTTGTTTGATAGGTATTTTGTATGGATATAGAGAAGGAGGTAAATGGAAATCACAATTGAATTGATCAAGTTACATTTATTTGTACGCATAAATACAATTATGTCAATTTTAAATGTAACGCCTCAGAGCGAGGTAACGCCTCAGAGCGAGGTAACGCCGCATGAGTCATGTTTTTTCGTGCGTGCAGCCGGCTCCATCGAATTATAAGACGTTGTCACGTCAAAAAAAGTTTCTTAATACCTCTTGTTAAATATAAATTTAATTAAAAAGATTTTTAACAAAGCACTTTTCAATTCTATTCAAACCATGTAAAACTGTTAGGGTTTTTTTAGAACGGCTTGCCAGTGTAATGCTGACCTTTTAAGATTTTATTTCCTTTGTTTCACTCACTGTCAGATATCAATAAACTTTTTAAACCAGGTAGATGTAAAACTGTTAAAGTATTTTCACAACGGCATGCGGGTGCGTTGCCGACCAAAGATTATTAAATAAACTTGGTGAAACACAAAATAATTACCTAAATCAATCCGACAAGCAATGTTCCAAGTGCCACTAAACATTTGCTGCGAATATTTGGAAAAGACCGGTTTCTTCCTTCCGCCTTCACTTCGGGAGAGGAAATAAATTTTCGCTTTGAAATGATTACTCATAGAAGCACTATCCAGGGCACATAACAACATCCCAGTCTCGACGGCACGGAGTTTTAAACCACGTAATAATACACCCACATTGTCACCTGCTAACGCCTGGAAATAAATATCTATTAAAACCCTTCTTTAGTGAAACTAATGCGTGATCATACTTTAGACTTCATAATATGTTAAAATAAAAGTGGCAACTCCTGAAGATTGATTATTAGGAATTGTGAGGGTGGACCACAAACAAAAAATCTAATCTATCGTATATAGAATATTGATTGGTAAGCAAGGTGAAGTCCTAATACTAAGGTAGCGTTCAAGTATTACGTCACAATTTGGGGGGGTCCTTTTGTAAAACGTTACGATGCGGGGCGGGGATTGAATTACGCGTTATTGTTAATATTATTTTCGACTTTACACCACATAATGGTAACTTTTAGGTATAGAGAGTCACTTGGTGGTCACGAAACGTTTTACAATACTTGGGTACAGAAAAACGTTACGGCGCGTTACATGGGGGAGGTGTATAATAATCACCAAAAATTGCGTGACGTAATACTTGAACGCTACCTAATCCATACTAAATTTTATTTTGCCGGGTGTCAAATCCGTTATGACATCAACTAAGCCATGTCAGTTAATGGAAGAAAGAAAATATACTAACCTCTGTAACAGAGTTTTTAAAAATCTGAATATCAGAGAGAGATGTTTTTACACTCATTCCAAATCCCATCAAATGCGCTTGATCATTTTTCCTCATGATACCCCTTTTAATTGTACCAACTACTACAGTCCCTCTACCAGGGACTGTAAAAGCCTTGTCTATGGGCATTAGGAATGGCGACTTTAGATCTCTCACTATGGTTGGCACATAGTTATCTATGGTATCAAGAAGTTTGTGAATAGAGGGTACTCCTAAAAAATTATAAAACTTAGATTAAAAGTTGATCAAGTTAAGAAGACAGAGCTGTTCCATATTCCATATTATCAGTGAAATAAACATACAATAGTGACTTTACTATTGTTGGCGACTCATAGATTTAAGTAGTATTAAGCATGAGCTATATGTTAAATATGAATATTGTTTGCAGCTCGTAAGTGGTAATTAAGTATGAGCTATAAGTAAAATAAGAATATTGTTGATAGCTCATAAGTAGAAATTAAGTATAAATAAGTTAGGTAAAATATGTAAAGAAAAATATAGTTAAATAAATTATAAAATGCTTCGCCGAATAAAAGGGTCGCGTAGCTCTCGTCGCGGTATACGCGCGCAGATGGCTGTAAGCGCAGCTCTCGTCGCGGTATACTGTCGAAGTACTTAAGCTCGGCGAGATCTACGCAAAACTCTCTTTTTCCTCCGCAACGAACTGGGACCCAAGAATAATCGGCGAAGCAAGAAACAAGAACAAGGCGCAGTTTCATTTCAAGACAACATCCTACAATTACGCACTAGCAGGGGTGCGTGGGTCGAGGCGGTGCCAGCGATACGTCGAACCGTCTTGACAAAACGTACGTAGTCAAACCCCACCGGTATTCAAAGCCGCGCCGAGGTTACTTTGGTTACTGCACGGGTGTTCTCAAACGAACATCTAAACGTCTAATCCCGTGCAGGCCCGAGTCTCTGAGGCGACGTCGGGATTGGCTACAATAGTAGTACGTACGAAGTCAAACCCCACCGGTATTCAAAGCCGCGCCGAGGTTACTTTGGTTACTGCACGGGTGTTCTCAAACGAACAACTAAACGTCTAATCCCGTGCAGGCCCGAGTCTCTGAGGCGACGTCGGGATTGGCTAGAACAGTAGTACGTACGAAGTCAAACCCCACCGGTATTCAAAGCCGCACCGAGGTACTTTGGTTACTGCACGGGTGTTCTCAAACGAACATCTAAACGTATAATCCTGTGCAGGCCTGAGTCTCTGAGGTGTCGTGGGGGTTGGCATCAACAGTGGTCCTTCGAGCGCCGGATCCTGCAACGGTTGTCATCAAGAAGTGAATACTGTGAAAAGAAAATGCCAGTCACAAGGTCACAGAACGGGATGCAGCGAGGGGAATCGACGACGACTGTTACCTCCGCCACAAGGTCCGAAGTCCGGACCACAGGCGAAGAGATAACGATAGAGCAGTCCACGTCGACGAGCGCAGCCAGCCAGCCAGATCAAGCATTGACTCTGGCACCAGCGGGTTCCACCCGGCGGGCAGCATCGAGAGCCGTATCCAGAGCCAGCTCAAGAAGACAAGCCGAGGCCAGAGAAGAGCTGGCTCGCTGCGAGCTGCGGGAAGCGCAGGCAGCAGCACGTCTGGCCAGATTACGATTAGAAGCAGAAACGGAAGAGGAAGACTCCTTTATAGAAGATGTCAACGATAACCATGAAGAAAAGGTAGCAAATTGGATGCGCTCTTCGGCACAAAGGCCAGAAGAAATAGAAACAAAGAGCGACATTCGAGCAATAGCTGACGCAATAAAGGAAGCCATGACGACACATGTAGCGCCGCAACCGAAGTACATTCAAGAGCTGCCAATATTTGAAGGCGACAGCTCCGAATGGACGGCGTTCCGAGTCGTATATGAAGACACATCTCCGATGTTCTCTGGCATACAGAATATGGCGCGGCTACGTAAAGCGATTAAAGGCACGGCAAGAGAAAGTATTAAGAGCCTCTTATACTCAGAGGCAATGCCAGAAGAAGTTATTAACGCTTTACGCCGAAGATTTGGTAGACCCGACGCGCTGGTGCTAGCTGAACTGGAGAAATTAAAGGCGCTTCCCAGAACGACGGAAAATCCCAGGGACATATGCGTCTTCGCTAGCCAAATAAATAACAGCGTGGCCGCCATAAAGGGATTGAAGAGGCCGCAATACCTCTACTCACCTGAAATCGTGAAACTTATAATAGAGAAGATGCCTTCAATTCTCAGATTCAGATGGTATGACTTCACGGCTGCGAGGGAAGAGGAATCGTTCAGTGATATCCAATCGATAAGCAACTTCCTCAATTTAGAAGCGGACAAATGCGGCGCATTCGCGGTACTTGAAGACAGCAAAAGCGTACGACCGAGCGCAGCGATAAGAAAGCCAGTGAAGCAAGCTACGTATAATATCGGTGAAAGGAGTAGACCTGAAGAAATCAAGTGCCCAGACTGTGAAGGCACCCATAAACTCAAAGACTGCCAAAGATTCCTAAAAGCGGCAGTCAACGAGAGATGGGAAACAGTTAAGAGGCTTAAGGTCTGCTTCAAGTGCCTCGCTGGGAAGCACCGGAAAGAAACATGCCGAAGACCACCGTGCAAGTTGTGTCGAAGATGGCACCATAGCCTACTACATGTGACGTCGGAGAGCGAACAATGTCACGAAGTTGCAGCGACCGAGACAGCGACGGTCAATACAATAAGCACACCGAAAGCTATTCTTAAGATGCTCAAGGTGGAGATATACGGACCGGCTGGGAGCAAACAAGTACTGGCGCTGCTAGATGAAGGCTCAACGGTGACACTGCTTGATGAAAACGTGGCTTCGAGCATCGGCATCCAGGGTCCCCGCGAAACCCTGAATATAGAAACTATCGGCGGAGGGCAAATGAAAAATCACGACTCCATGATTTTAGATATCGAAGTGAAAGGGATCAAGCAAAGCGAGAAGAGCACACTCAAGCGGGCAAGAACTATCAAGGAGCTCAAATTGACCCCACAACACGTTGATAAAACCCGACTAAAGAAGTGTAATCACTTGCGGGGTTTACTACAAGACGTGTGCTACGAAGCTGAGGCGCCGAAGCTGCTCATTGGACAAGACAATTGGGAATACATTGTCTCGTTACAAATACGACGTGGAAAGCCAGGGCAGCCGGTGGCGTCACGAACAAGGTTAGGGTGGGTTCTCCATGGCTCCGACAGCAGCGGCGTGTCTCCGATCAGTTATGTGAACACATGTGCACACGCAAGCGTCGTCGAAGATAGAATAGATCATCTGGCGAGGGAACACTCTACTATTGAGTCTTTGGGGGTTCAGCCGAAGAAGCCTTCAACGGATATCGAACAGCGAGCACTGGACATATTGGAAAGAACCAGCCGACAGTTGGAAGATGGCAAATACGAGGTCGGACTGTTGTGGAAAAAGGAAGACATACAACTTCCAAACAATTACGCAGCAGCTTTCAACAGATCTCAAAGAATAGAAGAAAAACTACGTAAGGACGCTAAATTAAAAAATGAACATAGCGCGCAGATAGGTCTGTTGAAAAGCAACTACGCTGAAGAAGCACTAGCCGACCGCACATCTAACGAAAAGTGGTATCCGCCTAACTTCCCAGTGGTTCACCCTCTGAATGAGAAGCTAAGAATTGTCTTCGACGTTGTGGCCAAATACAATGGAGTCAGCCTCAAAGAAGTTATGCTGTCCAGCCCGGACTTACTGCAATTAATATTTGGAGTGGTACTGCGATTCCGTCAAGGTCCCGTATTAATAGCGGGCGATACAAAACAAATGTTTCTGCAGGGAAAAATATGTGAAGAAGATCGAAACAGTCTCAGATACCTTTGGCGAAAAGACAAGGAAGCGCTAGTGAAGGATTACAGTATGTTATCAGTGGTTTTTGAAGCTGCGTCGTCGCCGTGCACTACGATTTATATAAAAATTAAGAACGCAAAGGCCTTCTTACATAAATATGAAGAAGCGGCGCAAGCAATAGAACGGAAGCACTATATGCATAATCATTTGCATAGCTTCCACAGGCACAGCGACGATTACCAACGAGTAATACAGCAAGTCGACTTGATCCATAAGAAGGCACACTTCAAGTTACGAGGATGGGCGCCGAACAAAATAGAGATCGTTAAGGACGACACCGAAGCGCGGAAGAGCTACCTAGAACAAATCGGAAGAAAACAAGACATCGAGCTGCCGCGATACATGACAACATTCTGCACTGAGGGGAGCTGCATACTTTCACTGATGCAAAGGAGACGTCGTATGCAGCCGCAGTATATATGCCGAGTCTTGAACTGCAGGCAGCCTTGTTGGAAGCAGAACACATAGTCAATTCTAGACTAATAAAAAACCTAGCTTATAATTCGGAAGAGGAGGCGCTAACCCCAAATCACTTTCTCATTGGGCGATCCAGAGGAGCTGCACGCGTTGGGTATTTTCCTGATGCAAAGCTGGTGGGCAGAGAAGATTGGAAGACCGTCCAACGACTTTCTGATCACTTTTGGAGGAGATGGCTACGGGAGTACTTGCCCACGCTACTGCCCAGGAAAACGACAGGACGACGGGAAGGCGAGCAGCTGCAGCCAGGCGACGTGGTTTTTATCGTAGATCGCACGCTACCACTATGCACTTGGCCGAGGGGAACAATCGAAACCACGTACCCCGGGCCCGACGGAAGAACCAGGATCGTGGACGTCGCAACCTAAGGTGGAGTGTTACGAAGACCATCGTCGAGGATCGTCATCTTGGTGCCTGCGAAGTCGCCGTGCAGGAATGACGGTGCTACGCACGAGGGGGAGAATGTTGGCGACTCATAGATTTAAGTAGTATTAAGCATGAGCTATATGTTAAATATGAATATTGTTTGCAGCTCGTAAGTGGTAATTAAGTATGAGCTATAAGTAAAATAAGAATATTGTTGATAGCTCATAAGTAGAAATTAAGTATAAATAAGTTAGGTAAAATATGTAAAGAAAAATATAGTTAAATAAATTATAAAATGCTTCGCCGAATAAAAGGGTCGCGTAGCTCTCGTCGCGGTATACGCGCGCAGATGGCTGTAAGCGCAGCTCTCGTCGCGGTATACTGTCGAAGTACTTAAGCTCGGCGAGATCTACGCAAAACTCTCTTTTTCCTCCGCAACGAACTGGGACCCAAGAATAATCGGCGAAGCAAGAAACAAGAACAAGGCGCAGTTTCATTTCAAGACAACATCCTACAATTACGCACTAGCAGGGGTGCGTGGGTCGAGGCGGTGCCAGCGATACGTCGAACCGTCTTGACAAAACGTACGTAGTCAAACCCCACCGGTATTCAAAGCCGCGCCGAGGTTACTTTGGTTACTGCACGGGTGTTCTCAAACGAACATCTAAACGTCTAATCCCGTGCAGGCCCGAGTCTCTGAGGCGACGTCGGGATTGGCTACAATAGTAGTACGTACGAAGTCAAACCCCACCGGTATTCAAAGCCGCGCCGAGGTTACTTTGGTTACTGCACGGGTGTTCTCAAACGAACAACTAAACGTCTAATCCCGTGCAGGCCCGAGTCTCTGAGGCGACGTCGGGATTGGCTAGAACAGTAGTACGTACGAAGTCAAACCCCACCGGTATTCAAAGCCGCACCGAGGTACTTTGGTTACTGCACGGGTGTTCTCAAACGAACATCTAAACGTATAATCCTGTGCAGGCCTGAGTCTCTGAGGTGTCGTGGGGGTTGGCATCAACAACTATTATATTTTACAACATTTTTTATAGAAGTACAACAGTACTCTGTAACATTTAATAAGATTGCAACTACATTAAAAAAATGTTGTTTGGCAACTGCCTTTGAAAGTACAGGGGTTGGTGCATGTTTAAAAATCCCATATCAGTGAAACATACACAACTGCACAATTCCAGCACATGCTTACATATATTCAAAGGAAGCTAATTATCGGAAATCAGCATATTACATTTAAAACCATACCAATTTCAGACATGTCATCATTTAGTGCTTTCAGGGCTGACCCTTTGACAACAGGTACATTACTTCCATCATAACCAAAGTCAGTTATCATATCTCTCATCTCCAATTCTACTAGCTCTAATACCTGAAAATATATATATATGAATATCTTAGTGCCCTTATTCAAGGTGTTAGGGGGATCACACAAACATTAAATATTTATGAACCTTATATGTACATGTTGTGTGATTTTATAACAGTACCAAAAAAAGTAATTGTTATAATGTAAAACACCAATGGTTTATGATGCAATGACTTCCCTGGATTACCCTTACCCTAACCTAACCTTGAACTACTCTTTCTTGCCTTGCACCTCAGTGTACACTGTACAATAACTTTTTGTTAACAAAAACTGTAATATAAATGTACACATTTAATTAGCTTACATATATGTGTACTTGTGACTTGGTGTAGACAAAGAATACTTCAGTATGCAAGTTATTTTAGCATATTGTTAAACATTTCCTTAAAACTAAACGGCATGTGTGAATTCTTTTTTTAAAAAGCTAATAGGAATTGTAAAATAATTTAAAGTTGAAGTAATACTTGCCTCATCGTCTACCAAATCAACTTTGTTAATGAACACTATAATATATTGAACACCGACTTGTTTAGCAAGTAATAAATGTTCGCGTGTCTGTGGCATCGGACCATCATTGGCAGCCACAACTAATATGGCTGCATCCATTTGTGAAGTTCCTGAAAATTTTAAATGTTACAGTATAGATAGTGAAGTTTATTACTGATTTTATCATTGCATTTGAGCTACCTATTCATTTGCTTATTTACACAAGCATTAAATAAATATATAAAAAATGATGTCTCATCACACCTATATGTATACAAACCTGATATCATGTTCCTAATGTAATCTGCATGTCCAGGGCAATCAGTGTGAGCATAGTGACGTTTTTTAGTACTATAACCCACATGTGCTGCATTAATAGTAATACCTGGAAACCATTGTTATTATGTTAGGACCAGGGTATGATTTAGAAACAAGACATAGTGTAGTGTCCAATTAATGTAACTCCAGTACATTAAAAAATTTAATAGTTTGACATATGAATATCACCCTTAATGTTGTAAATAAAACTTAACTGGGTCTTCAGATTTATTAGACTACATAAATTAGGTCTTCTATATATATTAATATGTTTTGGAAAATAAATATTTTTCAATAGGTAAGTAGCAGTTTCGCTAACTAAAAAATTAAACTTATATCGAGTACATCATTAGTACACTAAATACTTTGCCTCTCTATAGATAGTTCAGTGGTTAGGTTAGCTAGGAAAATAAATGATATAATAATATGTACTACAATTAATACATTTTGAATCCTTTAAAATATCTCAGTTAATACATTTTGAATCCTTTAAATAATATGGCTCTATATTAGAGTATATCTTGGCTATCTTGGCAAGTAAATATATTAGGTGCATACCCCTTGCTCTTTCCTCTGGGGCCTTATCAATTTCATCGTAAGAAATATACTTTGCGGTGCCTTCTTTTGACAAAACCTTTGTTATTGCTGCAGTCAATGAAGTTTTTCCATGGTCGACATGTCCTATTGTTCCAACATTACAATGTTTTTTTTCGACAATATCAGGAATTGTTTTAGTAGAAAAATTTCGTAAATCTTTACTGATTAAACTAACACATACTCTATAACCTGGTGAAAAAGAGCGTCCTACATATTGTTTCTGTGTAAACATACAATACACGGAACGCAATATGAATCGTCCATTCATTTTTAATTATATTAAACCAATATTAGAAAAATAGATTCATTTTAGGTTATCTAAACTTTTCATAACAAATCTTAGATAACAATTTTACAATTTACACACAGATCAAGTTGAGGTATAGAGGTGGCTCAGAGGAGTCAAAGAATATCTGTCAAATGTGTTTTTTTAATCAACAGACGTAAAAGTAGTCAAACGCTTTCCATTCTCAGCTAAAAAATTAAATAAACAAATCATTACTTCGAGGCGATAGGTGTCGTTGGGGAGCTGGAGGCTATGAAATTAACAAAATAACATATTGTAGAACAACACCTATCCCATAGAAGAAAGTATGAAAGGCTAAATCATGTATGGAAACCAGAGGTGGAAACTAATTTTCAAGTAAACAGATTTATGGACAGGTCGATTTATAGATTCAAATCAACTTTCAGCTAGATTGCGAGAGAAATACCAAAGTTCCACTTGTATGGCGGTCTTTTTATGTTCATTTTGAATTTTATTCATTATGCCCAAAGTCCTGTACAAATTTTTGTTATACTCCGAATACCCTAATGCGATCTCTTACGGTTACCTCAGGCAGTTGGCGTTAGTTTTTTTATAGAACAGGGGGCAAACAGGGGGAGCAGGAGGTTTACCTGATTTTAAGTGATACCCACTCAATGGCAGAGGCTCGCGACTGCATTTCCGGCAATTTAACAATGGGTTCAGAAATGCTTTAGAGGTTCCACATAATAGTGGTGCGCGGCAAAAACTGCCGCTCAGTTGTAGAACGACGAGCGTCGAGATGATACGGAATTTCGTATTCTGCCTCGACGTACGATGATAAAACTCATTTGCAGGTATTAATCCGAACAACTCCTCTGAACACTGTCCATGGTAATGCGGTAGAAAATACAGAGACCTTCTCTACGCAACGTTAAGGGATCAAGCCGGAAAGTAGCTGAATGTCGACGATTCGAATTGCTCTTGACCTTGAATTCGGTCAAGTGGACATGGACCTGGTACTAGGGCCCCGGCCTAGAGGCGAGAACAGTACTCTATGTGGGGCCGAAATTGTGCTTTATACAGTTGCAAGCGATGGCCCATGGTGAAGTAACGATAAGGCGAGAGCCTTGCTGAGCATCCCAAGCTTCTTTTCTTCCAAATGACGGTGAAAATGCTAACTGAGGCTTTAAGAGTACTTTAGAAGAGAGGAGGACAAAAGATGTCTTTTTAACGGTAAACGCGCAAACTTGTGTCTTCTTGGGTTTAATTGGACTAGATTTAGTCGACCTCAGTCCGAGGCTCCACGTAGCAGTTTCGACTTTAGACACCCGTTTGTTTCGGTACTGATTGACAACTGCCCGAGGCTTTCGCTATATCCAAACTATCTGCTAGCGCCTCTCCCTGGAAATTAATTGCCTCTGCCCATCTGTGTAAGGTAAACGAGAAGGTCAGTAGTTAAGCGACCACGATGATATACTGACAATATCTCAGCTGGTGACCCTCTAGATGGTCATCCAAAGTTGAGTTGGGCGCGATTTCATATTTTTAAAGTGGGCTCTTTAGGCGCATGAGGGTAAAATGTTTGTTAATAACATTAACGTCACGAAGATGTGCAGCGTTTTTGACAAAGAAAAGGGAGAGAGCGATTGAGAGTGTGAGAAGGGAGAATTACCTCCTATTTTTAAAATTATTTCGTAAAGAGAATTTATGAAATATTAGTATGTATTTTAAATTTTATGCAAAATAATTTATTGAAATCTCAAATTACGAATTGTAAAATTTCACGTGTTTTTATTATCAAAGAAATAAATTTAAAAAAATATATATAATTTGTTGTAATTTTCTACACTTTTAATATTTTAATTTACGTATGTTACATTTTCCCTCCCTTAAGTCTCGGAAATCTTAAGTTTAAGATTTGTATAAAAATGAACAAGACTTAAAAATTAGTTTGCCAAAGAAGTTTCACTTCTGACATGTACCTACTTTGTACGCACGCACTTTTTTTCCTATATCCCCGATAGAAGTTAAAATCCATGCTCACATATTTCAGCACAGCGCCGGTTACTCCAAGAAATTTAGTTTATGTTCTAGGTAAAATTCGTAAAAGGAACACGACACTATATAACGAAACCCGAAGTAGCTGATAGCATAGATTTATATCGTTAGATAGGCCCCGACACCAAAAACTGTGGCATTGTTTTTGAATGTGTGCGTTAACAAAATGCCGACACACGCACACTAACGAGTAGTTAAAAAATCGTGTTTCCGCCATTGTACTTATCTGTTGTTATTACCTATGTACTGAGAAAATAGTGTCATCTCTTTTTCTCCTACATTAGTTGCAAACACTACTTTCTCTTTCATGCACTCGCCATTTAAATTTGTTATTTTAGACAGTGCGGAAGGAAAAATAAAAGTTTTTAAATCAAATCGCAATACTTACGAGTGAAATGTTACACCTCTGGCTTTATTTGTGTTTCTAGAATTGTTGTTGCACTTTAGAAAGGCACACGATGGCATTTTGTGACACTAAACTGCTCGCAAACGTCCTTTACAACACGTCCGGCTAACACTGTGTTTAGGGGTGCACTGATCCCAGGTTACTGGTTAGTGAGCTCACTCACTTCGACTGTGGAACAACACGGCGCGGTCTCACTGCGGTAAGGGCCTATCTAACGATATAAATCTATGGATAGCTGATAGCTTCTTCGTGGTATGACAGTTAAAAACGGTGACGAGTTTTGAGCCCGACCAAATAGAAGACCTTTGCAAGATGCCAGTGATTCGAGACAAGGCGACTTGTTTTTGAGTTTTTTTGCCTAAAACTTCCACCACACCAATTTGTCGCCAATTCTTGACCCACGACCGTAAACCCGATCCCCCTAGGTATCACCGTTAAGGCAGGCTGTTTTTTTAATCTCGAGATTCTGTACTTATCTTTACCCCTATTCGTATTTGAATTCTCTTTACGAAACTACTAAGTTAATGTATACATAGTATAATATATATAGACTTTTCTTCAGAAAACTCACTGCTCCATAGAAGTATTTGAAAATAGACGGGAGCATAAACATCATTAGTCATTAGTTGTTCAGTGGACATAGCCTTTAGCCAACGCTCGTGTAGGTATAATCTCCGTCAATATGTTTTTAAGAGGGCCAATAGACAATAGTACCATAATACTTCATCTTAAAAATTTGCGTGTATAAAATAATTTAACAAGTATTTACAGAATCAGTTTATTGAATACATAACCAATACTATTTATAATAATTTAACTGCATTTTGTTAAGTATTGACAATAAACATTTAGTAACTGGTCTATACACATTTAAAGAGAATATTCACTGAAAAAGACATGTGATTTTTTTTAATAAACACAAAATCATAAACAAAAATTCACGGCCAATTTTCGATCGTCAATAGTTTAAAGAAAGAGAAGAAAAGAAGAAATACACTCAAAAAAGCATTTGACACTTCTGTATCATAAACCTGAAATCTAAAATATAACTTTGTAATCTTGTAATTTTGTTGTAATAATTTACACAAAACACTGTAATTTTAATTGTATATTAATTCCTATGTTATATTCTTAACCGCTGAGTACACAACATCTTGATTTTCTTCACTGGGGTCTTCAGGCTCGTTCGACAAGTTGAGGTCCTTTATATTAAAACTTTTAATGAAAGTACAAGGTCAATTACTATAATATTCTTTTATGATACAAATAACAAGTACAGTACAGAAATTTGTGAATAGGCCACATAACAAAAAAACAATTCTCATTATTCTTAAAGAATAAACAACTAGTGTTTTATTAATTTCTAAATAATTCAAATCACATAATTTTTGACAAATAAATTATATTTAGATACCAAATTAGATAAATGTAAATTGCGACTAAACAAAATATTTGAAAGTTCAAATTGCTTTTCAACAAAAAAACAATACTTTTGTGGCAGTTTTTCTAAGATGTAAAACCTTTCCTAGCAGAAAGCCTATTCTTTCTACTCTTTAGATTACGCAAAGGGTGAGGCAAGAATGTTTACCCTTACTAATGAATTAATACACATCTATAGTCGTATTTTTAATTGGACGAAGCCAACTGACAGTAGATAATGTCACTTTGTAAAATAATGTTGCCATATTTAAAGTAATAGTGATACGTTCAGTTCTTGTTCAATCAGATGAATGCACAATGAGTGTCAATAGTTAATCATTTCAAACTATTAAATAATATTGTTTCTATTTTAAAATTGTATAAAAGTGCTCTGATATAAGTTAGGTACACAGTTTTACTCGGCGAATGTCATTTAGCACTTTTCACTATTGCATTTATCAGTGTGAGACAGCTTTGAAAGTTAGTAATTCACACCACTTCAAGGCATTAGATTGATAAGATTAAAAAAACTGGAATATTTATGAATATTGTCAGGATTTAAATGGACTATAAATAGCCAGCGTTAAATTATTTTAGACTTTATGATAGAACATATTATGGTCGATTGCTCTCAAACCACAAATTCAAGTGCTAAGATGTCTTAGAGGAAACTATTTAGCATAATTTGTAAGTGAAAAATTAAATATGCTGTGTGTCGAGCAACAAATCTTAAATCCTGTATAAAGTGTTACTGAATTTCATTGTTTTATTATTCGGTAGTGTAGTGTGAACTCTACGTTTGATTTCCATATAAAGTGACGTACTGTACGTAGGTCCATGTTGGGATCCAAAACCTGAAAAAGTAATACTCTATTATTATAACGTCAAAAGAAAAATATGTATGTTGTCTATTAGCTAGAGCAGAGTTGGACCAGTGCTCTTCTTAAGATCGTAGCTCCAAGCATCAGCTGTGCTACAATAGACTTTTTTAAGTGAAAACTTCTGTAGCATCGTTTATTTGAAAGTCGATGAAATAAAAGCGGCGGTAAAAAGAGACATACACATAGATTTATAAGATTTAACGTGGGAGAAAATGAGATAGCATTATACAGTGTATAAACTTTAAATTTCAAATCAAATAAACACTGTATTTGATGATTTACTGAAAATAAAAAAACATAGTTGTGCTTTTTCTTTTCATCGACTTTAAAACTTTAATTATTTAGTTTTTATCAAAATTAACATTAATTTTAAAAAATTTAAAATTAAAATTGAATTAAAAAAATAATTCAAAGAAACGTCGTGAGAAAAAGTCTAATTTAAATATTATTAATTATAAAAACTTTTTAAAATTAATAATTAATATAAAACTTAAAAATTAAAATTACATTTGTCTCATTATCTTTGCACACATGTTTTTTTTCTATGTGCCCAGTTTGCACTCGATTGTCCGGTGAGAGAAAACATAGTGAGAAAACTGGCATGCCTTAACCCAAAACCCATGTTTTGGATTCTGTGTTGTGTTTACAAAAAATATCACAAAACAGATTTCTAACTGAGGCCATGACCAAGGGTAGTAGCACCACAGTATTTTTGTGTTTCAATACAGCATAAGTTCTGCAAATGTTCTGTTGTTTCCATCCAACGTTTGTTCAGAGAACATTTTTTAAATTAGTTTAGGAGCTTACAGTGTAAAATTATAGCGTCGCTGAAGAGACTGCTTTTAATGGGTTTACATTGTATGGAGGCAAACCAACCATAGTAAACAACCTTTTATCGTGATGTTACATGATAATCGATATAAAATACTAGTCAACTGACCTGATCACAGCAAAGCAGTTCAACTTTTTCTTCAGGTGCGTCAGAGTTCTCCTCAGTCTTGGCTGTACCAGACCCGTTCACGTCTCCACCACCAATGATTTTTTCCACAACATGTTCGGCAACTTTACGGCATTGGATGAAATCATTGGCTACAAGACGATCCTGTAAAAAAGATTTAAACGTTAAATATTTAAACTTATAAACCATATGATTTTTACTACACCAAAACATCTCTTATACACGAGCTGTTCTATTAGTTGTATTTGATTTGTGGAGCTATTCTTTATACTTCCTAAGATTGAAATTGAAATCAAATGATACCAAGAAAAAAAAAAAAAAATTATTAAATTAATATTATTAATAATTATTATTATTAATTAATAATTATTATTATTAAATTAATTTAGCTGTTTGTTGTTCGATGATGTGGTAGTAGTTCCTACTTCCTGGTAAGGCGCGTTCAACAAACTTTTCAACTTTAGCATATTAACATTCGTAATTTTTAATATTAAAAAATGTAATTGTTCACTTAAGGAACCTAAATGATAGGTTGTATGTAGAAATAACTAGGAATTTGTTAACGAAACACAGTAAGTAAATTTTGAAAAACTGAAATCAAAATCCAAATGATTTGAATAAATTTTCGTATCAACTTGTGCCCTTGTGGGGCGTTGGCCGCAAGGTGGGAAACAATGGTATAAATAGAATTACGTTGACACTGGTATATATCATATTATCTTTATTTAAAAAATATAAGTCAGAGTTTAAAGAGATAAATAGGACAATGCTAATCTCTCGCATTCTCAACCTTCACAATGTCTACTTAATGATGAAACACTCGGTAAAGTTTGAATATAAGAATGGGAAACTATTAGCTAATTAAACTGTATGATCTCATTCTGCACATACTTTAAATTGGATATAAATAAAATACACTTTTGCTAGAGTAAACATAGTTTTAACATTATTTTTTTTTATTTCATTTTTTATTTATTTATAAAAACACACCTGCCCTAACAGGCGACCCTAAATTGACAAGAATGCACAATAAGTGACTAAAATTTACAGACGAAACAAAAAAAAGCAAACATACGACATTAATTAGGAAAATCAAAATTACATAATTATAAAATACAAGAAATTAACTAACTACTATATGCACTAACAAATAACATAATGTTGAATTTAAATGTATAAAACTTTATATTGAGAAGAGTCGAGAGTCAAGATGTTTGAACGCATCTGGTTAAAGTTTTAAAGTTTTGGTAAAGTAGTGAAAAGGAAAAAAGATATTTACAAATGCTTACTTTTTTCTGTCTATCCTGTTTGCTTTGACAACTGGAATGTGGTAGCAAGTAAAATGGTAGTTTGTTTAGTTTGGGTGCAGCCATCTCTATTGCTACATCTACAACCCATGAGGGCACTGTCTCTAACAAAATGTTGCCTTCTGTTTCGCCACCAGCGTCACCAACCTGAAATATTTAGGCAAATTCTATCATATACTATACTATACTTCGCGGAGTAGACAAATTTCTTTTAGTCTGTATGGGAAGAGAAGCAGTATGGAATGCAAACTAATATTCATCTTTGCTGTGTCAGTTTTTCATATTGTATAAAGATATTTTGATTTAATAAACAAATGTATGAAATCCTGTGAACCAATAGTATAGACACATTTCTGCATCTGTTTCATTGCTAATTCTTTATGGGAAAGTAGATTATCATCAGCTTTCTATACCTAACACACATACATAGAAGTCAATTTATAGGTCCAAGACATGATAGTTTCTTAGAATGTATTAATTAACCCTAAAAGTAGGTATCAAAGACAATACACACATAGCAATAAGTATTAAGTGTGTATTGTCTATCTGTGTGTTTTATATTAGTTATACTACTGTTATAAAAACAATAATTACCTGAAGCCTATACAATGTTCTTCCACCAACCTCGCTAAAAATAAGTGGTGTATGTAGTGGTACTGAAAAGAAATTATTCCCAAATACTTTTTGACCACCCTCATTTACTCTATTTGGATGATTCCAATACTCCAATAATGCTTGTAACAGTAAAGCTCCAAAATTAACCTTTTGATCATTCTCTGTTGTCAACCCAGCTTCTTTTGCGCTCACCCAAGCACTAAAACAATCAGTCTCATCTTGTCCTAAGTGTATTGTAAGCATTCCAGTTTTCAAATCAACATTAAACCAATTTGGAACATATACCATCTTAAAATGTTTCTTAACTTCTTCGTCATAGTCAATTTCACCTAAATCCTCAATTTTAGAAGCTTTTAAGACATCATATAATACAACATTGTTTGATGTGTCCTTAGTCAAAATGTGTCTCTTATCATTTAGTACTGTATAGTTTTTTATGGCACGTCCACCTGGTATGTGATGCAAGGGTTGTGTTTGATACACATTATTTGTATTGTAATTGTTTTGGTTATACATTTCTGAATTTAATGTGTTAACTGGAGGAAGTTTCCAACATCTTATGTCTGAATCTGATGTAGAAACCCAAACACCTTGTTGATCTGCTGTAAAACATAATTTGAGTACTGGTGCTGATTCTTCACAGACAATCATAAAGTTGTCAGGGTTTCTTAACTCTGTTATAATAACAAGCCTGTCTCGACCTCCAGATATGATATGACTAAATGTTTCAGTCGCTAACAGGGCCCAAACTGCTTCGGAATGTACACGGATGGTGGACACACACCGCTGTTGTGATAATGACCACAACTTAATGGTACCATCAGAGCTACCTGACACACATTGTGTGCCATCTCTGCTGACCACCAAAGCTTTAACATTATCTGCATGTCCTTTTAATTTCATAAGACGTGAACAATTTCTAGGATCCCAAACCCTGAGGACTTTTTCGGTGGAACCACTAACCAGGATAGTCCCAGGTGGATTCATAGCAAGACTGTAAATGGATTCCTTATTACCAACAAGACTAGATGTAGTTACTGTATTGTTGCTAGCAGTTAATGCAGTTAACGTATTAACATCCCATAAAAAAATAGCTCGGTCTAATCCAGCACTAGCAACTTGTTCTTTATCTTTTGCGTATGCCAACGTGCGTACATAATCTTTATGAGTCCTTAACGTGGACATACAAAATCCTTTAGGGGCGTTCCATACTTTTACTGTGGTATCCGAAGAAGCACTAATTAGGTTTTTTCCACCGCAACAGAGCACGATATCATTAACCCAGTCCGTGTGGTGCTCCATGCTTTGAATGTAGCGGTCCTGGGAACCGTTCCCAGCATGCCATACGCGAATGATGCCATCTCGACCGGCGGTATAAAGCCTTCCTTGTACAGGATCCAATTGAAGTGAGCTTACACCGTTTTTATGCCTCTTCTCCTCCTCGTCCCGAATAACGAATGAGACTTGGGTTTTCTTACGCATCATCGAGCTCATTTTCCGACATTTTAAACTTTAATCCAATTAAAAACTTAAATTAAAGCTAAACCCAACTAAAATATAAATGAAATCACATCAACATAACCATTCCAATAACTTAGCTGACACCGACAAATAACAATTGACACTTGACACTTGACAGTGTCTAAAAGGAACTGGTTACTGACAACTGAAAGCTGACATCTTTCAACACTCATCACTCATGTCAAATCTTTTAGACTATCATGATGGCAGAGAAAGAAAAGATTATCAGGCGACCAACTACCAAGCGAAAATCTCTATACTACTTAATAGTCAAGTCGTACTTTTTTAAATACAGGCACAGCAGAAATTTAATTATCAATACTATTGCCATGCCGATTTTGGAATCGGCCTGGCCTGGATTATTAGTAATTGCCCTAGTAAATTACTATTACTATAATAGTTAATTTACTAGGGCATTCAAAATTAAGCTTATTCTTGCCGGATCTTATGAAATATTTTGTGTTATAGGTCTGTATGTCTGTGTTCATATAATCTGACATTGAACTTGACAGACGTATTCGCTTTTAACTTTAAAAAAAAAGACGGCTTTTGAATTTTCAAATCAGTAACAAATTTTTATAAAAGTTTTCCAAAAATATACATAGCTCTGCAATAAAACAATGGTCAAGTATGACGAGCAAGTCAAGACGAGCATGAATATATTTTTAAGTTATTTATTTATTAACACGACAGCGCTCATAAAACATTTTTATAAAATACTGGCTGACCCGGCAAATGTTGTTTTGCCATGTATATTATTTCTAGGAAACATTTTTTTAGTAAAATAAAAATAACTGTCTACAATAATAAAAAATAGGGGTTGATCGTAGAGAGGTGAAAGTTAGGGGTTGTATGTATTTTTGTATGCTGTATTATAAAAAGCTCGTTTGGGATGGACACTCCTTATCACTTAAGGGTTTGAAAGATAGACTAACCGATTCTCAGACTTACTGAATATGAATAAAATTTCATAAGAATCGGTCGAGCCGTTTCGGAGGAGAATGGGAACGCATTGTGACACGAGAATTTTATATAAGTATTAGATAATATTTTTTTAATATTATTTTTATTAATTTTCAATTATTTTGATTATTACTTTGTAGGTTAAGAAAGCTGTATACTTGATTGTTATGTTTACTATTGAAATAAATGAAATTAATCAATAGAAGAAATAGAAGTTACTATATAGAATTCAAAAAATTGTAATCCCTTATTGCTATATACGCGAAGTTGAGAAACCACAAGGAATCTTTTATCTAGTAGTAAATATTATTTTTAATCTATACCACTGTTGGTATAAATAAAATAACAAGTAAACTTAGATCATCTCAGAAGTGAAATAAACAATGCCCCCAGCTCCGCAAAGCTACAGAAGATATTCAATCAACCCCTTTGTTGGCTATCTATTAGGAGTTTTCTCGAACAAGTAACAATTTAGTGGGACAGGAAAGGACATAAAACTTCGTGTACTGGGATTTGTCGATACACCTGAATACGCTGAATTGAGTGTTCTTGGGTTTTATTACAGTATTAGGTACACTTTATTTTGTTGTAAGTTTAATGCGTGTAGTATAAATAACACTAAGAATAGTCAAAAGTCAAAAATCATTTATTCATGTAGTGTTACCTATGAATGCACACTTATGAATGACAAAAAAAGAAATGTACATTAATTGCTTCTAATTTTACATTCACTGCCAGTTCTCAAAGCAAGGGCGTATAACGGAACAGAAGAACTCTCCGCCACTCTTTTTAATCGCCATGTTTTTGTTTTACACAACGTTTGTAAGGAGCTGCAACCATTACACCATGTTCCACGTGACAACTTTAGTAATAAATAATTTAAAAAAATGGTGCGTGTACTTATGTACGTGCGTAAGAAGTTATACTTCTTTGGCTTTCTTTATTTTTTTTTAAATATTAAATAATTAATAATAAATATTTAGCGTTAATAATTTAACAATATTTAATATTTAGTATATTATTCAATTATTAATTAATATTAATTATTATTTTATTATATTATTAATTCAATTTAATAACTAGGTAGGTTTCATAACCTTTTAACTAAGTAACAATAGGTCTTTGTGAAAAAGCATTGCTAAATTTCTTTGAAAAAATAATTAAAACTCCTTTATTTGTTTAAAAGGTACTACAAATGTCATTATGGTCATTCAAAATTCTTGGCATAGCTGCTAACGTCACGCATATTCTATTTCTTTTTACTTGTAGATTGTCTTATTCCCATCTCGCTCGCGCACGCTCGGCGCCCATACTGATAATTTTGTGTCACGGTGCGCGCGCATCGTAAAATTTCACTCTCATAAATTTTTCATAACGCGCCTAAAGAAGTATAACTTCAATAAAATAAATTAAAAACAAAGATTTGTCCTCTATCAGCAGGAGGCATGGTGAAATAGGAGCACGCACTTAGTTGCATCATTTAAAAGTTTATTTTTTTCAGCATAATAACAAAAATGTATTACAAAAAGTGTTACTATATAATTAAAAAGAGTTTTCTACAGGTAGCAGAAGACTTCTTGCTGTAGATAAATCTTCATTATGCACGTTTTTAACTTACAGTACACGCCTCCACAAGGTATATGGGCATACGCTTCACTAAGTCCCCCCATACGGTCTCCGGCGAAGAGTCGAGGAAACTATTAAGCTACAGGAGCCAGCACGTTTTGCTGACGCTGGACTGTATGAGTAGAATATATACCACAAATGTTATATTTCCGACAGTAAATATAACAAATATAAATATAAATATAATAAATGTCAATTGTCATAATATCTCCTATCAAGTAGGCGCTTTCCGTCCCTAATTCATTATCTTTTAACGATCTTATTATAGCTCCTTATCAGAAGCCTTTTTTTATATAAGGTTTTAAGGAACTTCTGTTTCGATCACTACCCTGTTCACCTCATGTTATGTATAGTACATATAACGCAACTGGTTTCAAAAGTGATCAATGAAGAATTAAGCACCCTAATGGCAATGTTCATGATACGAACTGAATTTCACAGGATGAAGCCTAACCTTTTTATTGCAGCATCTAAAATAGTCCGAATATGCTGCGCAAACGAGAGATCCCGCACAAACAAAACACCACAGCATACACGGGGTACACTTCTGTTGGCGTTCATATAAATCTAAAAATGCGATTTATTACGTTTATTGAAGTTTAATTACCTACTTTCCTAAATCCTTTCCTTAGGTGACTAGACGTCTTTGATAATTGAATCTAAAAAAAATCATGTCATCACGTTTCTCACGTCTTCGTTGGTAGTAGTTATTTTCGTATACAGGACAGATAAATGTAATGGGATTTCACAGTTGGGATACGAATGCATGGCCCCAAGTTAACTATCGTACGGTTAGCTGATTGGCTCGAATATTTAACACTTATTGGTTTTCTGTATTATTAATAAACAAAAGTCCGTGCGTACAAAATACCCGTCATGTCAGAAGTGAAACTTCTTTGGCAAAGTAATTTTTAAGTCTTGTTCATATTTATACAAATCTAACACTTTAGATTTCCGAGACTTAGGGTGGGTTGCATCAACAAATTTTGACGGACACGTCACCTTTAAATATGGCGCTAACGAACGTTAGACAAAAAAAGTGTTGATTCACCATCTATGACAGCTTACGTTCGTTAAAAAGTTACGCTTACGTTAACCAGTGCTTGAAGCATTGGTAATTGTCAAATTTTGGTTTGTAACTTCGTAGTTCGTACTTCCTAAACACTGTTTCCTCTGAATTTAATATTAGAGATGGTTTGATTCATTATTATTTTGCAAGGTATGTTAATAACACGATTATTTTTGACTTTAATATTAAAGATGTCTTGTCTTATATTTCAGATTATAACTTTTTTATGGCATGGGTGTCAAATATGGTGAAGGACTTACATATTCTATACTGTTTATATTACTTGGAGAAATAAAATGTTTGACAAAAATAATATGCCTTTTTAATACCGAATTACAACATTACATAGTAATGCATGCCTATGCACATAAGAAATAATTCATCTTAAAAATCTATTTATAATTTTTTTCACTAATTTTATTACATTGATACACACAACTGTTTAATTATTTTGAAGAGCATTTACACTAAGTTTCAAGTAATCATATCTGATCTGATCATAAACAAGTTATAGTAAGTTTATTTTTTATTGTAAAGGTAAATACCACTTTCCATGCATTTTACATTAGAAATGGCAGTTTCATACGATCTTACATCCCTTTAGTATAATTAATAGTAAGTAATTTTTTTCCTAGTAGTTTAAAAATGATTTCATCGTTCTTCCTCTTCTCATTTAGATGTTGAACACGCAACTCAAAAATTTCTTTTTCATATTTATTATCTGAAAGGGCAATAAATTCTGCATGAAACGCACTCCATGCCCTCTTTTTTGCAAATTGTTTGTACTGTCTGTCTTTTTATTAAATAAAATGTGTTTATGTTTTTCTATAAAATTTGTAAATCTGTCCTTCTCTTCTTTTCCAAAATTTACCGAACGTTCTCTGAAAGTCAATGAGTCACGTAAATAAATACACTTCTAACTATATCTCTCAATATAATTTTACTAAAATACTTTGCGCATATACAATTCATGCAATATAATAATAAAATAATAGCTTTATACTTACTTTGGCGAAAAGGTTTCCATTATTTATATTAAAATTAAACACTTTTTAAAATTAGCCTTTCGTACAAAATAATAAACATCCGATGTCAAAGTTGACAGAATGTTTCAAATGACATTGTTATAATGTGACAATTGACGTTACGCAAACGGGCAACCCCAATAACAATGACGAACTCATTTTTTAACAATAAAGCAACGCTAACAAGTTAACAGACGTTAAAGTTCATACGTGTCTGTCAAATTTTAACGAACGTCAGTTACGATAGCAAATGGTTTGAAACAACCCAATTAATTGTCATTAAATATTTT